TTTCTTCTTCTCCCCTAAAGCCTTTTCACTTTGGGACCTCAGTCAATATATAAATCCTGTTAATTCTGATTCATAATTTTCAGTATGTGTTGGATTCCAAGAAAATTGCTTTTCAGAGCTAATACACTTCCAGCAACAAGATCCTTGTTATGCTAATGCCTAAGAGTTCTGTTGTAAATACAATCTTGTTTTAAGTAAGTACTGTGGAGAAATTACCTGTTAGGGTGTAAAGGAAAATTTAAAGGGCCCTTATACTTGATATTGGCTTTAAATACCATTATCCATGAGCTACTTTGCTACAACAGAATTTTTTAGAAATTTTGGTGATCATCCTTTAACTGGCCAAAATCTTAAACTTACCTAAATGTAAAAAGAACTTATAGGTAATTTGTTCTACTTCTTGATGGAACAAAAAGAAACACAAAATCAAATAAGTTACCTTTGCCCTTTCCACATAGAGCACTTTCCAAATACAATTATGTCTTTTATTTTATAGAAAAAGATACTTAGGCCGGGCGATGGTGATGCATGCCTTTAATCCCAGCACTCGGGAGGCAGAGGCAGGCGGATCTCTGTGAGTTCGAGGCCGGGCTGGACTGACAGCCTCCAAAACAATACAAAGAAACCCTGTCTTGTAAAACCAAAAGGAAAAGAAAAAGATACTTAGGCAACTGAGGAGCAGGCTTAGTCAGTAAAGTGCTTGCCACAGGGCATGGGGACCTGAGCTGAGATCCCAGCAGCACATCAAACATTGGCAGGAAGTAGAGACAGAAGGATGCCAATTAATGAGCTACAGATTAGTGAGAGCCTTCCTCAAAATCTAGATGGAGAGCATAGAAGGCACTTACTGCCAACCTCTGGCCTCCACACGCGCGCGCGCGCGCGCGCGCACACACACACACACACACACACGCACACACACACCACTTAATATTAAAACACCAAGCAGTTCAAAGGAAAAAAATACTTAGCCCATCATTATTCAGATCTGCCCTGGGTCGTCTATAGCAAGTGTAGTTGTTCTCAAGAATGCTTCTGAAATCTTATTGTCAAACAGTAATAATCATTGCTGAGTTGCCAACCTAATCTTGTTCTAGTGTATAGCAAAGAATTAGGAAGTAAGAGAAAGGAAAAAAAAAAGTAAGAGAGAGAAAAAAAAAAAAAGAGGTCCCAAAGTCCAAGTACTAACTCTATTATAGATTATCCCATGCTGACTTTTTTTCAGCATTAAGCTTTAAGTTAAAATGACCTTGGCTCAAAAATCTTTATTTTTACAAAATCCTAGTAGCTAAGTAAGATTAAGCCAAATTTTTAATATCTCTTAGTTTCAGTTTTCTTATCTACCAGATACTATGACAAATGTCGTCTATTGCTATAAAACGTAAATGAAATAATGAGTGTGTTACATAAATGTTACCCTTAAATAATAATAAATGATACTGTCATTATTGATGATAGAACTCTACAGCTTTGGAAGAACAGAAGAAAGAAGCACGAGAACATCGCAACTTGAAATTATACTTCATAAAACAACCCAGTGTCCTTATGAACCAAATCTAGCATCACTGTATTATAACAGATTAACTATAAGTCATCCAGAATGCTACTGTGACTAATCATAGTAAACAATAATGAGTAAATGAGCTGGAATTTTTGTTTTGTTGTTTTTATTTGTTTGTTTGTTTGGGTTTTTTGTTTGTTTTGGTATTTTTGTTTGCTTGGTTTGTTTTTTCGTTGTTGTTTTGTTTTGTTGGTTTCTTGTTTTGGTGTTTTGAGATAGGGTTTCTCTGTGTAACAGACTGGGTGTCCTGGAACTCGCTCTGTAGACCAGGCTGGCCTCAAACTCAGAGTTCCACCTGTCTCTGCCTTCTGAGTGCTGGGCTTAAAGGCGTACACCACCAGTACCTGGCTGAATGATCTGTTTTTAAAGATCAACCAAGAAATTAGTGAGATGAATCATCAGATAAAGGCACTTGCTCCCAAGTCTGATGACCAAAATTTGATCCCGATGGCCTAAATTTGATCCCCATGACCCATGTGGGTGAAGGAGAGAATACACTCCCATAAGTGGTCCTCTGACCTCCATAGATGAGTTGTGGCACACACACTCCCACAGTAAATAAGTTAAAAAAAAAATAAAGATCAACCTATAAAATTGGCAGTAAAAAAAAACATAATTATTTACTCTTAGGAGGTTTTAATGTTCCCTGAGAAGTATGAATCACTCAGGTTTAATTAATATATAATCTCCATGGCCAAAATTTTATGTGACAATGGGGGAAGGGAAGTCACTATTCTCAACTGCCTACTTCATACCATGTACCCCTCTCGAATTTTCCATGAAAGTTGATGTCAGAATCTTGAGAAAGGTTGCTTTAGCTTTGTTCTATCCATAGAATTTTGTTTATTTATAGTTCAAAAGCATCTTTAATAAGTGGGAGGTTTTTTTAATGTCTATTGCTGAGTGTCAATTTTTAAAAGATAAGAGGGGCTGTAGAGATGTCTCTGTTGTTAAAAACACTGGCTGGAGCCGGGCGTTGGTGGCACACGCCTTTAATCCCAGCAGAGGCAGGCAGATCTCTGTGAGTTCAAGGCCAGAGCGAGTTCCAGGACAGCCTCCAAAACAATATAGAGACACCCTGTCTCAGGGGGAAAAAAAAAAAACTAATTCAGGTCAGAGATACTCATCTTGAACAAAGATACTTAGAAATACTTCATCAGTCAGTCTTCTGAAAAGACTTTTAAATCTCCAACGAAAACACTGGAAACAATCATTAAGTACAGGGATGTGAACATTTGAAAACATCAGAATGTGAGATATGTTCCTGTGGCACTGAGAAGAAGAAAAAAATGTAAGGTACAGAAAATTTGGATACTTGAAAATAGATGGTACTAAAGCAATTGATTTCAGAGTAGGAAAGTTTAGAGGCAAGCCAAGAAAAGAGTTCTATGTGGTAAGTGAATCACTCAACAAGAAAATTAGAGCACTAGATTTACCTTTGGTTGCATAGCAATCACAAACAAGTACACTCTTTTTTTGTTTCCAGCTTACCAACAACATTTGCAACTTTGGATATTGATGGTGTAAGAAAAATTATTTTTGCACTACCAGGTAAGAATCATTAAAATTGTTTCCTCTTTTTTCTAGAAAAGTGACCAAAAAAATTTAGGCTTCTCAGATTGTCAGTCTCTAATCTACATGACTTAATTTATAATCTGAATAGCCTTACTAATTGACCTTCCCTGAGGCTAGTTTTTCATCTATAAAACAAGACTGATATCTAGTCAAACCAGAATATTCTTCCAGGACACAGTCCTTAGCCTAAGATGATAGCCAATTATAAGTGGGCAGTCTAATTAGACCTCACAACTAGAAGTACTGTCCAACATGAAACTACTAGTCACATATAGCCAGGTATGGCAATACACATCTGTAATTCCAGCACTCAGGTGACTGAGGCAGGAAGATCATGAAAATAGGCCAGCCTGGGCTACATAACAAGACCTTGTCCAGATGCAAACAAGCACAGCTGTGCTTCTGGTCTGGGGAAGGGAGGCAGAGTTGCTGATCCTGGTATACCTCAGCCAGCATTCACATGTCACCTGTCTTACATCACGTTACCGCCTAACTCTCTTCAAGCCAAAACCTGAGTGCTAAGCTGTAGAAAACCCAAGGTAGTCCAGTTTCTAAGAATTCGTCAATTCCGTTTATTACTTGCAGCCATACATCTTAAGTCTTTGTGAATCTTAATAAATTTTAAAGAAGTTTAGTATTTTATGTACCTACTTGTTAATTTTTAAAAACTATCCTTTTATATCTGCAATTCTAATTCTGGTGGGGCTGAGACAGGAGAATCGCCGCAGGTTCAAGGTCAGCCCTGGCTATAAAGTGCTAGTCTTAAAAAATAGAATCCTTCCCAAGTCCCCATTTTGTTAACAGCAATTCTTCAGAAAAGTAAAAATTATTTCAGACTCACAAATCTCATGGGATTCACAGATTTATTTGCTTTTTATATCAGTGAATCTCAAAATAGAATTATTTTTAAAAGAAGCAGACAGAAGAATTTTAACATTTAAACTCTGTCCATAAGCATAAAAATAAACTTGTGTCATACAGAAAATATTAAGATGTACTGTAAGTAAAGCATCCTCAAATATCTATGGCATATGACTAAATCTAGGATCCTTAATGTTCCCTCAGATACTCTGAAAACTGTTCTATGAAAAATGAGGTACTCTTCCTAGCTTCATTTTTGTCTACTAAAGAGACAGCTTTTTCCATAGGTGTGATTTAACATACAGATTAGATAGACTATCAGTGATACTAAAACAAAGATCATTATTGTGAGAGCCCATTTCTGATGATATATCAATGTTCCACAGAAACTACAAAATTAAAAGCCCTCTTCAAATCACTGTTTTTATTTGAAACACTCTCCACTGAGCCTGATTGAACCAGAGGAGGGCAGCACCAGCTCACATGTCCAGATCCTACATATAGCAAAGGTGTTCCTTTTCCAAGGATTGCTTTCTGGAAGACCATGTACTTAAAATTTTTCACCTATCTTATAGCCAGTGTAATAATTTCACATACAACAATTTTTAACTTTTTAAAATTACATGTTCACTATAAAATCATGGAAATTGGGACTGACAAATAGCTCAATCCATTAAGGTACCCGAGTTTAATTCCTTGGATACACATGGTGGAGAGAGAGAACCAACTCCCACAAGTTGTGCTGTGGGGCACACACACACACACACACACACACACACACACACACACACACAAAATTAAATTAAAAATTAAACCTTTGAGCCAGGCAGAGGTGGTACGTGCCTTTAATCCCTTTGCAAAAGGCAAAGACAAGTGGATCTCTGTGAGTTCAAGGCTAGCCTGGTCTACAGTGGGTGTTCCAGGACAGCCTCCAAAACAATACAGAGAAACCCTGTCTCGAAAAACCAAAAAAAAAAAAAAAAGACAAAAGATTTTTTTAATGTAAGATTCAATTGTTTATTGTCTGTCTGTTTAAGAATCATACTTTAATGGAAAAGACTAAAGATTACAGAATACAGAATAATACACCAAGCAAACTGAAGTCAAAAGCAAGCAAGAGAACCTATAGCCTTATGAGACAAAGTAGACTTCAAGCCAAATCAGACAAAATAATAAAGGAAACATCACATGTGAATAAAGGAGCAATCCATGAATAAAATATGATTATAAGCAAATATACATCAAATGTTAATGCACACAGTTTCCTCACAATTGTAAGTCCCAGAAATCCAAAACTCAAGGTGGCAGCAATGCTCCTCTCTGATGCCTTCTCTGTAGTCATCTGCTGCCTGTGAGTCCCATGGCCTTGCCTCTGACATGCATACTTCTGCTGCCTCTTCTGCTTTCTACAGGGATGGCAGTTCTACTCCATTAGGACCCAATCCTGAGTCCTCACTGAGCATTAGTCAACAAGGCCCTGTTCCTGAGCTCAGTACACTGAGCACTGAGCTTTCTTGTGGGACTTCAAGTTGCAGTTGACGCCATCTTATTCATCTTAAAGTTTTTACAGCTTGAGTCATTTGGTTATTTGGTTGTGTCTGAATAAAGATGGTTATAGATAAAGTTCCACGTCTGTATTTTGACTTATTAAGAGTATGTTGCTTCTCATGAAGGCAGTTCAGTGTCTGCCTCTTCACCCACAGCCACACATGTGCACACACATGCACTTGGAGGTTAGCAATGGCTTTCAGTGCAAGGCTCTCAGGAAAGCATAAACGGTTTCTAAAAGCTGAGTATCAGATGTCTTTGTATTTTCATGGAAGACCAGAAGGTTCAGTTCTTACCCTCTGTAGATGTGGTTAACCCTCCCTCTGTTCTGTCATTCTGTTGGGTTTGGGGTGATTCAGAAGAAGTAGATAAATGGTGATTCACTTCTATCACGTCCTGTCACACCTGGCTGTATAGACAGATATAATTGTCTGACAAATCTTTATGTGGTATAATATAAATAACTATTTGGTTGACTTTCAGGGAATCCTGTATCAGCTGTGGTCACCTGCAACCTCTTTGTTGTACCTGCACTGAGAAAGATGCAGGGTATCTTGGATCCTCGGCCAACCATCATCAAAGCCAGGGTAATGTTTCCTATTTGGTTTCTAGTGATCAGAAACCAAAATGGAAGCCTAATAACAATTACTAACTGCCCAAAATACATACCTATAATTTTATATTTGTTTTCTCATAAATGTATTAATAGTCTCCCCTTTGTAATAGAAAATAGAAGGGAAGATTCATTTTTATGTCCCTCAGACATAAATAAGGTTGGCTCAGAAGTACTGGCTGCTTTACCAAAAGACCAAGATTGAATTCACAGCACCCACATGCAGCTCACAACTATCTCTCACTTCAGTCCTAGGGGATCTGATGCCCTCTTTTGGCCTTCTTCTCAAACATTGTATATACATGGCATACGGGCATACACAGGCAAAGCACCCATATACATAAAAATACATAAAATGTTTTAAACTTAAAAAGTACTTAAAGAATCCAGAGAGCAAGTCTTCAAACATCTAGTGGGTCCTAAGAACAAACCAGCAAACAGAAAACAGTCTGTACCACTCACTAGACCTGTGTGGAGTAAGAGGTGAGATGGTTTCCCCAGTGAAGTTCATAGAGGACAGATGTTAACCTGCTTGCTTGTATGTGCTTGCTCTTCAAAAATTTCAAAAGGGACAAAGGACTAAAAGACTGGCACTTCAGGAGGAGAAGCGAATGTACTTTTCAGAACAGCATGAGTCAGACAAGGGCTATACACTACAGTAAGAGTCCCTTTCTCTACCCACACTACAGATTTAACTTATTACTCAACCAGTTATACATTTTCTGTATTACTAACAAATGACTTTCTTGACATCATAACCTATAGAACCAAGCTATTACTTTTCAAAAGCTTTAAAGTAATTTATATATGACACAATCCTATGCTTAGTGGACCAAAAGAATATAAAACACAGAAGAGGGGTTGGAGAGACGGTTCCATGGTTAAGAGCAACTGGCTGTTTTTCCAGAGGACACAGATTCAATTCCCAGCATTCCCATGGCAGCTCTAACTGCCTGCACCTCTACTTTTAGGGGATCTGAAACCATCACACTGACAACATGAATATGCATGAAATAAAAATAAATTATTTTTAAAAATAAAACACAAAAGAGGAAACAGTGATAAAATATTATTCAGGATACATAGTGTAAAAACATCTAAAATGCTGGCACACACCTTTAATCTCAGCACTCAGGAGTCAAAGGCAGGCAGATCTCTGAGTTCAAGGCTGCCTGGTCTATAGAGTGAGTTCCAGGACACCCAGGGCTGTTACACAGAGAAACCCTGTCTCAAAAAAAGAACACAAACAAACAAAGAATCTAAGACAACTGGCAAGATAGCTTGGCAGGTTAAAAGCGCATGCTGCCACGCCTCACACCCTGAGTTCAATCCCTGGGACCCACTTGGTGGGAGAAAACTGACTTACTGAAAGTTGTCCTCTGACCCCAACACGAATGCTGTGACACTTGCGTGTGCACACAGACACATATATGTAAAATAAAAGCGTTTTTTGGAAATCTAGTGAATCAGCAGTCTTAACATTGGTACTTTTATTACTGGAGATTTGTGAATGAAAGAAGATAAAAGCATCTTGTTTCCCTAAAATACCACTTAAAATCACCTAGCCAGCCATAGTGTCCTGTGTGTCAAATCACCCCTCCCCAAAATGGAGCTTCCTTTCAGTAATCACAGAATTGTTAACAAAGTAAGAAACAGAGAGGTGGAAGGAGAAGAAGGAAGAAAGGCCAGTGTGAATGAAAACAAATTATGATCAGGTCAAAAAGCCAAAGTCCTTACAGATTTACACAGCCAACCCAGTAATGGAGAATTTATTGCATTCACACTTGCTAAGCTGAGGAAGTAGGAAAAATCCATATTGTTTTAAGAGACACATGGCTTATCCAACACTGCAAAGCTCATAGGAATCCTTACATTTATTTCATTTTGACATCTGCCATCTCTTCTTTAAAATTGGCTGCAAAATAGCCATATAAGTGGTTCCTGCAATTTAGCACTAGAGAACACACACAGAGAGAAACTAAGAGGAAAGCACAAAACAATTTAGGAGCAATAGGAAGCTATGCTGCCAGCAAAGAATATATAAGCAACATCAAAAGCCTATTTCTTATACACTGAAAATAGTTTTATAAATGAGTAGGTGAATAATGCCTAGCACATATTAAATCTACAATGAATACTGGTGGATGGTTAGTTTTTGAATTTGTTTATTAAATCCACCTCTTTTCCTTTGAATAGTGAGATATTGCTTCAGTTTCTCATTTCATAGGTCCAGGATCATTACAACCCATAATAATAGACTTTACCTTTTTCATTTGTCTTTTCCCCCCATTGTGAACACTGACTTCCTAGCATTCTTCTTTACAATAGCAGTCAACCCCTGGACTTTATGCATTGAAAACAAGATAATAGTATAATGACAAGGATATTACCTATCCAGACTCATTATATTCTCTGTAGTTCTAAGAACTGATTAGGTGACCTAGTTAAATTTCTTTGCCTCTTTATGCTGTAGTTGTCGTGTGATGTAAAACTGGACCCACGCCCAGAATACCACCGGTGTATACTGACTTGGCATCACCAAGAACCACTGCCCTGGGCCCAGAGTACAGGTCAGTCATTCATACCTGTACACCCACACAGGTGCTTGGGCACTTCAGAAACAAACCACAGAGATGCCTGTGTACTCTGAAGAACAAACCACAGTAGCTACTATGTCAATCGTGTCTTCTCCTTGGTGATAATGAAATGGATAGTTGTTGTACACTTCTCTTTTTGAGGGGTTAGATGAAATAAGTTATTCTTGATGTTTCTTTATTTCACTGAGTCATATTTTCTAGATAAATATTTGAAATATACAAATATAATTATATATTTTGATTAGTTCAAGCAGCCCTCTGAACATGCCTGGTGAGTAAAAAAGAAGATAACAGTAGCTGTGTTATCCTGAAATGTGGGGAGAAAGCCAAATCTACAGTCCGATCTTTATGGACCCTACTACCTCCTAGGTACTAGTAAACTTTAAGGACAAAGCCTTGTTGATAATTCAGAGGTCTGGCTCTGAAGTAGAGAGCTCTCAACTCTAAACCTTTGTCTCCAACTTTTCCAGTCATATTTTGCCCAAATTTTGATGCAGTTCCACAAAAACTGTTACCTGTTTTAAAAAGACTGTGTGTCAACTGCGAACATCCACTTACAGTGATTCAGTTCATGAGCCTTTGTCATCACAGAGTTCTGCAGGAAAGTTGGCCTCCTGCCTAATTAGCAAGACCCTAGGCAGCATACCTCAGACTTTTGCATCTTGTAGGAGTTAAATAAGAAGAGTTCATAAAATGACCACAGAGCACCTAATGGAAGCTGCCATTACTGTTATCCTTAAGTTTCTAAAAGGCTTTATTTTTATACAACTATAAATCCACCCTGAAGTGAGAATTTTTGTAGCATTTTGAATGGCTATAAAGCACCATTTTATTCTTTAAAAAATATCTAATATTTGTTTTTAAAGTTTCGATGAGAAGGTCAAGGATCTAGGACGTGCATTTTTCCTGAAAAGGTGCTGGGAAGACTGGTCATCTCTGTCCTTGGAGTCCTGTGCTCCATTTGCTGGCCTCTCCATATGTAGTTCCTGATGCTTGTGCTGCAGTAATGACAGTATTTCCTTCCAGGTAATCAGATGAGCAGCCGTCTGATGAGCATGCGCAGCGCCAATGGATTGTTGATGCTACCTCCAAAAACAGAGCAGTACGTGGAACTCCATAAGGGCGAGGTGGTAGATGTCATGGTCATCGGACGGCTATGATGGTCAACAACAGGAGAAAGCTTTGATGCATGTCCACATATCATTGACTGTATCCTGTAATATGCAACGGCACAGCTAGTTTTTCTGATCTGGATAAAAGTTGATCTGTATAGTCAACATCTTGAACTATATTTCAAATGAATTTAAATACCTTTTAAAGAAAAAAAACACCTAAGAATAAATCTTAACAGACAACTCTATTCTGATTATATCAAAGCAAAATTTTCCTTTCTTGCAAATTGCTTTGTGTGTTCAATGCTAGGTCTGATAGCGATAGCTTTTAGTAGACAGCGGTAGGTGCCTGCAGAACTTGTGTTTTTCTCATCTTTAAATACGACTACTTACGCTCTTAATCAAGGCTGTCTGCTTATTTATACTAGTGTAGGCAACACTTGGATTTCCCTTCTTAGTATGCTTCATAACTGCTTTACAGAGAGCTTTTGCTTGTTCTTTATCATGTATCTCGTGTTTATGTGCACAGTGCCAAAAGAGGAGTGACTGCGCGGAGGCCCTGCCCTGCCGCGAGAACCATCCCTGCCGAGCACCCAGGGAAGGTCTCACTGTAGCAGCCTCATGGCACAGAACTCGCAGGCAGTAACTGGATACCTTTTATTTGAACAAACAAACTGGGGGAAAATGCTTCCTTAAGTGCTGACAGCCTTTTTAACCAACACATTTAAAATTGTACAGAACAAAAACAAAATCAAAGACTGATCTTGTACAGATATTAGTGTTACCAGCATTCACGTGAAAATCAAGAGCAAAAACAAAATAATGTTAAACAACTCTGTACCATAACATTTTCTGTAATGATACCTAAACTTAATGAATAAAAAAAAATCCTTGGTCATTATTTAAAATGTAGTGTGCTGGCCTTGTTATTTAGAAAGAGAAGATAGTCACTCCATCCTGACAGAACTTTGCCTAGGTAAAAGAATACTTAAGATAGTCTGCCAAGGCTCACAGTAGAGAGACTTAAATTGTGGGCTGATACAACATTGTATCCTGCTGTACTGTTTAAAAAGTAGCATTGGGGTCTGTTAGTAAGTAAGAGAACTTCCCATCTGCTGTTTATACTGGTGATGGCTGGATAAACAGTAAGCCTAGCTAAAGGAAAGATGCTTTATTACTTAGTAGAATATTCTTCTTTTGTATACCTACTTTGGATTTGTACAGTTCTTTGAAGAGAAGGGAAAAATAAGTTATGAATCAAACCTTCAGATGAGTGCCTGGAATTTTTGTGTTTGTTTTGTTTCCTGTGGCTGGGTCTCACTCTGTAGCCCTGGTTGTCCTGGAACATGATTCACCTGCCTCTGCCAACCAAGTGACGGAATTGAGAGCGTGTCATCACAGCTGATGTTAGAAATTTTTAAATCATGTTTGAAAGAAAACAGAAATGTGGAGGTGTGGTGCCCTTTGGAAGCATGCTCTAGGATTACTCCCCTTCACCTTTTCTTTGTTTGGTTTGGTTTTTCTAGACAGGGTTTCTCTGTGTAGCCCTGGCAGGCCTAAAAATTGCTCTGTAAATCAGGCTGGTCTCAAACTCAAGAGATCTGCCTGCCTCTGCCTCCTTAGTGCTAGAATTAAAGGTGTGTACCACCACCACCTGGCTAGGATGTTTCTTTTAACAAAATCTTCAAGATATTTTTCAATTGATATTAACAGGAAGACTCTATGTTCTGTAGAGTATGCTTAGTAAAACAGACTAAGAAACAAAGTAACACAGCACAATGGCAAAACCTGTGTTATGGTGGAAACTTCATCCCAGCCCCTGGCATCCATATACCCAAAGAATCTAGGATGTTATGGTGGAAACTTCACCCAAGCCCCCCCTCCACTATTTTCTTCAAAACCCTGCTGCATCTCAGAAAACCACAGAAAATAGACAGGTAGTTTTCCAGTCTCTTTCCCGTTTCCTCTCTGGGGGAGCCGGAAGACCATTGGGAGCTTTTTCTAATTAGTTTTGATTTTGTCTGATTTGGATTGCTGTGTCGGCAGAGAAACTTATCAGGTTGCAAAAACTTTTCAGCATGTACTTTTAATGACATTTGATATTGGGGGTTAAAATAATAATATGTTCTATTGATTTTCTTCTATATATACAGCTGAAAAAAAGAGTCAATAGAGGTCCAAGGAAGACACATAGTTAGTTCATCTCAGAAATAAGCACTACTATGTGTGTAGCTACAAAATAGACCATACTACTACTCACAGAAACGAATGGAATGACCTAACAGCACCTGTACTCCCATCAGGGAGAAAACAAAACCTATGCAAGGAAGTGTATTGTATGTTTCATAATGCATGACAGAGTGTGCAAACTGTAACAAAAACCATACTGCAGTCTTAGTTAGAGAGCTCCAGAGTTCATTCAGAGTCCCCAGTCCTTAGAATTTATGGCATATGGAGGCTCACATGTAAATATGTGCAGTGAAACATCAAGTAGCACCTGCTGTATGCCAGGCATTGTTCAAAGTCCTTCCTGTTGTCTTTCATGACACCCTTGTGATTCCTATTACAGATAGAGAGACCAGGGCAGATATGTATCCATAGTCACAGCTAGCACATAAAAAAACAAGATTCAAAGCTGCAACCATGGCTTGAGTCCACTGAACTATGGAAACAGGTTGGTAGGAGATAGGGACAAATGGGGGAGTAACATCTGTAAGACTCAGACTAAAGTTCTTGAATACCAAGTGAAGGCATCTGGATTTATTCTAGGGTCAAAGCTGTTGGAGAATCTTGATCAAGGACATATAATCAGAACTGAACTTTTAGGTGGAATATCCTGGAAGCTGCAAGAAGATCTGGTTCAACTAGAGGGAAGTGGAAGAGCCCACTTTGGATAAGATGAGCCAGAGGAGCTGATAAGGAAAAGACACAGGTGAACTCACGGCTGGAGAGAACAGTGGGAAGCATTTATAACTGATACAAGTTCTGGAGAGGAAGCCAGAGAAAGAAGAAATGAGCCCAAGTCTTCAGTTAGAAAATGTTAGACAACTAATGAGAAAATCAGAAAAGTACATTTTGTGGATGAGCATTTAGAAGTTCTGCTTAGGAATTCAAGAACATACAGGCTGTATACAACTCAGGAGCTCATTCACATAAACCACCCATGACGGTGAATTAAGAATAAGTCAAGCAGACAGGGCCACAGGGAATTGGAGGAAGACTGGAGTGGAAAATATTTGTAGAAGACATCAGGAGCGCAGTGTCTCTTGAACCAAGACAGAATCTCAAGGGAAGAGAACTGACTGCCAGATGCAAAAGAAATAACAAAAATGAAGTCCTAAGAGTATGAACAAAACTGAAAAAAAAAAGAATACTTATTAATTAGAGCTATAAAAACAGAACTTCAAAAGTGACATGGAAAACAATAGTCATTAAAAAACAAATTGAATATAAATGCTTTGGAACCTATGTGTGAGGAGACCTGTGACTTCAAATTGATGACACTGAAAGCAGGTTTTGAGTAAATAAAAGCAACAGCTGTGAACATGTACAAACCCAACAGAGTTCAAACTGGAGGAAGAAAATGAAAGAAGGGCTGGAGCTGAGAGACCCTAATAGCAAAAACAAATTGCAAAAGAAAAGTTTTTTTTCCCCGAGAATAAAAAATGGGGAAGATATGACATTTGAAAGTTATGGAACAATAAAATAATTCTGCTTTAATCTGTTTAATCTATTGGTCGCTGTCATTTAATTTATTCACATTTATTTTACCAAAACTATCTAAGAATTAAGCATATACACCATAGTCAAGTTTCCTTTGTCTTAGTTATCTAAAATAAAAGCCTGGATAATACTTTCAGATTCTTATAGCCAGACTTGAGGGCTCTATGCTTTGGTTTTGTAAACCATGCCACACAATGAAAAATAGAACACAGATTATTTTCCAAGTAACTGTTGTTAAGTGATGTTGCAAGTGGATTCTTTGGATGACTTCCACTTTTTAAATTCTTGGCTAACAAACTTTGCAGCGGGTAATCTTCAAGAAACATTACCAAGGTAAGCATTCTCGCCCTCAGTTATAGAATGTAGAGGTCCATGTTCATATAGAGTCAAAGCAGACTTCCCTGCTATTCCACTTATGATCGTTCTAGAACTAAACAAAATATTGTATTCAAACATGCTTATAAGTAAGTATTAGTGATGGCTGAGAGGCCAGCATGGGACTGATCCAGACCCCTTGAATGTGGGTGTCAGTGAGGAGGCCTAGGCAAACAAAGGGACTTTGGGTACCCATTCCACATTGAGGGATGCTCTCTCAGCCTGGACACATGTGGGAGGGAGGGCCTAGGCCCTGTCCTAGATGAAATGACAGACTCTGGAGATTCCCCATGGAGGGCCTCCCCCTCCCTGGGGAGCGGAGTGAGATTTGGGGGTGGAGGGGCTGGAGGTTGAGGGGAGAGGAGGGAGAAGGAGCTGGGATTGACATGTGAAACAAGCTTGTTTCTAATTTAAATAAATACAAAAATAGCAAGAAGGAAAAAAAAAAGAAGTGTTAGGTTTCAAACCTGGGACAAATGACTGAGGTGCCTATTTAACATATCAAAGCAGACCTGGCCATCAGGTTCTGCAGGCAATCCCTCAGACCCTGCCTGTTACAGGGCCCTCTTGGCTGGCATACCCTGCCCCTTATACTAAACTGTCCAGTCTAGAGGACTGGCCTACTTTTCCCTATATAATCCAGACATTTTGTACCTCTTTGTACCATGGGGCCTGCTGGTTACAGCACCTGGTTCCCTCTCCCAGAATCTCCCATTTCTCCCACAGGGCACAACCAAGCCTGGTCATATCCACTCTGGATCTCCCAGATGTTCCTGCCTCTGGCTGTGCTGTCCCTCATATCTTTCTCTCTTCCATACCTAGGAGCAGTCATGTCCTTTGCTGGCCTTTTATTCCTCTTTTTCTCTTGAGAGAATTACATTGCTACAGAGTCCACTGATAAATTAGCCTAAAGCTGAAAGATTTAAAAAATTGCTCAAATCTGGCCTTTTTCTGTGTTTTCCTTTGTCTTTGTTTTATCCATTTGTTTTTAGAACACAGTCTTCCTGTGTAGCCCTGCCTGGCTGGGAATTTAGGATTAGGCCAGGCTAGTCTCAGGCTTGCAGTTTTCCTCCTGCTTCTTGCTGACTCTGAGCACTAGGATTGCAAATGTGTGCCACCATACTTGGCCCATGTATGTAATCTTTTCTAATAATTCAGTTCATTTAAGAAACATCAGCTAAATTCATATAAGATATCAAGTTCATGGTAGCACCAAGGATATGAGAATTAATGAGACCTTCCTGATAACCAGTAACAAAGGCAAAGTGTGAGACAGACAGACGTACAGGCAATGCAGTGGTTGGTTAGAAGAGTGAGTGTGGTCCTAAATCAGGTTCTGTAGGACAGTCAAGATGCAGACATTTCATGAAAGGCAGAAACCACAGCTGGTGATCCCACAGGGAGACAGTAGGAGAGGAAAGAACTGTAAGTTGGTTACCTGGGAAAGCACAAAAGAAACAGATATCAGAGCAACTGGCAAGAGGAAAAAAACTACAAAAACTAGAGCTGGGGTAGCTTCTGAGAGCTTAAGCTGATTAGATCTAGAAACTCAGACCTTAGACTCTTTACAGGGCTCAGTACTCCAGGGAAAGAATCCATCATAGCTGCAGGTTTGGAGAGTGCAAGAAGTTAGAATAAAATAGGATATCAAATAGTACAGGCAATTGCCGTTGTCATGGTGACACTGACAGAAACAAGGCAACAGGAAGGAACACAAGCCCCTTCTCCCTCCTACTGATTCCCAAGCTCCCTCTAGTCTAATGCCACCTATTGTGGAGCCTAACAAAGCCAGTTGGAGTGGCGTTTTCAGAGAGCTCCAGCACACCACAGGGCAGTAGCCAAAACAGATTTGGAGCTGAGAGGGCCTTGTTCACCTATAGTGACAAAGAATTCTCCAAACAGGTGACATTTGAGATTTCTGAAAAGTGACAATAAGCCCCACGGGAGAAGGTGTGGGAGGAGCATCTCTGACAGGAAAGGACAAAAGGAATGCAACTTCAGGAAGGAAGCCCTCAATGCAAGAGGGATGGGGGAGTATTCTGAAATACAGACCAGCACCACATGGCACTGACTGCCACCACAGTGTGAGGATTTGGGGCTAGTACTCAATCCATCTCCTGCCTGTGGCACTTGAAAACCCTGCCAGTTAAAGGGAAACACCAACTGAATGCAAGGCCTCAAACTAAACAAAGGTTATGGCAAACAAACCGTGCATTCTGTTCCTCTACTCAAACTTTGTTCCCTAGTTGCAGAGCTGAAACTTGAGTCATCTTGCTTCTTTCTCAGCCCCCACACATTCAGTGAGTCACCAAATTCTGAAGCTCCTCACAGATCCAAATTAACCCCCTCCTTTTCTTTCCCTCCGCCAGTACCTTGGTCTCAGCTTGCAGAATTGCTCTCCTCAGATCTTCCTTTTACATTGCTATTGGAGTGACCAAAACCTGACTGTACATCTCCCTATATAAACTTCCTTACAGGAAGACCTCTATAACTGATGGCCCCAGGTATAACTGATGGCGCCAGGGCCCTGTTAGAGCTCACAGCTCTCCTCAACACTTCCCCATCTTCAGTGTTTTTCTCTGACACACCAGGCTGTTCTGCAAGCAGTTGCTCCCTCAGATCCACGTCATTTGATACCTCCTGCCTTTGTCCAGACTGATTACTCTTTCAATATTTCTCCTGGGGATTAGAGGTGTGGCTCAGTGCAGAACACTTGTCTACCATGCACACGGCCCTGGGTTTGCCCTCCTGCACCACAAAAAGAGAAAATGGGAAAAGCAAAAGGAAATAAGCAAGCTTTAGCTTAGGCATTGCCTTTTCCCTAAAGCATCACATTGAACAAAGTGCCTCTCACCCATGTTCCCAGAGTCCTCCAGGCACCGTTCTATGACTTCGTCACATTGAGTCTGTCTGTTCATCTTGTAGCCCAGCATGAGTTGGCCTCGTCAGGAGCAGGTGCTCAACCCTAAACTGACCAACAGAACTAGGATATACAGCTTCTCCAGGAGCCAGGGTCAGAACATAGGAAGAGATTTTCCTATGCCAAGCTGAGAACACAGTTGAGAGGACTCCAGGCAGGAACCCATCTTAGGAAGGGCAAAGGCAGAGCACTAGAAGGTCATAACATCTTTCTTTGGCCAAGTGCTTCAAATCCAGACTTACATGAAGTCATAAATACATTTTGTGCATGTTAGAACATTCATAGCTATAGGCAAATATTCAAATCATACCATTAATTTATATTCTTCTCTTGATATACTTTAACCTCAAAAAATATGAAAGTTATAACAAAGGATTTCATCTAGTTGCTTCAAAATTAATGTCACCAACAACTAGGAAATCAGATATATGCAAAAATGTTCCAGAGCAGGATCATTGGTAAGTTGTGATCATGAAATAAGTAGACTGTGTAAGGAATGGACGGCATACTAGAGCTATGAATGGAAGGAAAGTATATGCATTGGAGCCAGTCATGGCAGCAAGTCCCAGAAATCACAGCATTCTGGAGGCTGAGGCAACAAATTACTCAAGTATGAGGCCCACCTGGACTCCATAGCAAAATCCTATTGAAAAGACAATTACCCATCTGAAAATGACACTCAGCATTTAAAAACAAAATGCAACAGAACATCCAAGGCAAAAATAACACGGTACCTGCTTGGGACTCCATAGTGGCTGCTTTTCTCTGAAAACTACTAGTTAGATGATCCCCTGCTCCCAGAGCCTGTGCCCTTACACAGCCTAACAAAGGATGGCCCTCACCTCTGCTTCTGGAGAGGCTTCCTGTTGCCAGCACATCCACATCTGGTCTCCAGAGCCAGTTACTGGCTCATCTTAGCATCAATCAAACACTTCACTTTTGTGGAGTTTTGTTTCTTGGTTTTGCTTTGGTGGGGATAGGAGTTGCTTGTTTTTGTTTGTTTGTTTCATGTTTTTGGTTTGGTTTGTTTTATATTGCTTTTGTTTTTTGTTGTTGTCAGGGTTTTTTGTTTGTTTGTTTTTATTTTGGAGTTTTTCTTGTTTTGTTTTGTTTTTGATGGGATCTCACTATAGTACAGGTTGGCTTCAAACTTACTGTGTAGCCTAGGCTTGCTTCAAACTCCTAGCAATCCCCCTGCCTCTGCCTCATGAGCATTGGAATTACAGGTATGAGCCACCATGTACAACTTGAAACTTTTTCTTCACTGAGACTCAAAATGCCTTTGAGGTTTCTGAAAACCAAAATATAGGTCAACTGAGTGATACATTATCAAGTGAATGATAAATGATGTCTTTTCAATTTTTATTATATCTTTTCCAATCACACTAACATCAGGATGACTTTTCACCGTCCAGTCTGGGCTGCTTGGTCATCATCTCAGAGATGGTTGGTCTTTTGGCCGCTCCTTCCCAGTGCCTCTCTTACTTCAGAGCTATGTCAGCACATTGTGATGCAGGAGCACTAGAACAAAGCCAGGCAGCCTTTCGCCAAGTGATTAGTTACCTGTCCAGCACACAGAAACACCTTCTGCTAAAGAAATGTGAGAAGAGAAGCAGAAACGTGCTGTTTGGAAACAATTCTCCTGTTCCACAGCCAGGAGGTTTCCGGAGACCTATTTCAGCCTTGCTTCTACGTAAGTTTGTGTTGATTACAGCAACCTCGATGTGAGCCTGGAGAAGAGGGGAATGTGTAGTTTGATTAATACTGGCTATCTGAGGCTGGAGGAACTTTCTTTCCATCTTCCTCTTTTCCCTGGTTTCATTTTTTTGTACCCTAACTAGAACAAACAAAAAACATTAGAGACCTAATAGCTGGTGACTGAACTCTTGGACTTAAAATGAATCTCACTGGGCCTGTGGAGATAGCTCACTTGATACAACAGGAGCTGAGTCCAATCCCTAGAGCTCACATCTTAATCAGGTGGATGCAGCTGTTCCTGTTTGTAACCCTGGCACTGGGAAGTGGCACCCTGGGGTTCACTGGCCAGCAGCCTTACCTGCTTGACAAGTTCTGAGCCAATGAGAGGCTTCGTCCCCACAAAAAAGTGGATGGCATCTGAAGAAAACCCAAAATTGTCCACACACACACACACACACACACACACACACTTTCATGCATACTTGCAACATGTACTTGCATACACATAAATGCACACAACCCTCACTGACAGCTTACATTTGAAATGAAAATGAAAGCATGCTTTCTGGGTTGCTTCAAAATTGAGTTTTTCAAACACCATTCCAATTTCCTTCCATTGGTGACTGAGACTAGAATAAAGTAAGTTCATTAGAAGACTCACTTGTAATTACTGGAGTGGAAGAGGAGATCCAGAATACAGGGTCTGATGTTTGAAACTGAAAAGCTGAGAGGGCAGCACCACAGAGAAAAGGAGAAGAGGCTACCGCAGTCAGAATTTCTCGGAGCTGCAACTCAAAGTACAAACTAGAACTGTGATGGGCCTGGCCTAAAAATATGCATAGTAGTGAATTAAAAATGACAGGGGCTGAATTTGGTGATGCACACATATAGTCCCAGCTACTCACGGAACCGGAGTGGGACAGTCAAAAGTCCAAAGCCATCAGGTATTACCAAGAGCAGTTTTAATGAGTGATAGGCAAAGGCTACCATTTAAGAACTGTTGTATAGTCAAATATAAGAAATAGCACAATAAAAGAAAAAGGCCAAGTCTATAGAACTCTTTAAATGTTGCTATGTTTGATGATTATTTTTAAATATTGGAGGGGAAAGATCGTATTGGGAATGGTGAGCAGAGAATATTTACAGACAATATTAAATATGTGTGGGCATCTTTCTGTATTAGGCAGTCAGAAAACCCAACCAAAACATACTTACACACTTGTCCCTAATCCTCTCACACTCCCTCTGCATTATTCCATTAACACCCACGCTGCCACATTTCCAAATGTTCTAGCTGATTGCATTCACTCCTAGGAAAACAGCATCAACACAGCATGAACATACCCCTGTTCATACTGTCCTTAGCCCTTCTGGGTTTGGTCATCCTTGACAGCAATAATATAAAGCTGAAGCAGATCCACTCTGGCTGATGCCAAGAGATATACTGCCCTTCCACTTACAATGGCCTGTGGTTGGATTCAACATGGAACCTCTTTTACTAAACATATCCAGCAATGCTTTTCAGATGAAAATGATACTGCAGTTCTGTAGAAAAGTACAGCCTGATGAAAAGAGCTGCTGAAGGAATCTCCATTCAACCAGAACTGGAAAACAGAAACATGAAAGCACTGGGGGGGAGGAGAGAGAGAGAGAGAGAGAGAGAGAGAGAGAGAGAGAGAGAGAGAGAGAGAGAGAGAGAGAGAGAGAGAGAGAGAGAGAGAGAGAGAGAGAGAGAGAGAGAGAGAGAGAGAGAGAGAGAGAGAGAGAGAGAGAGAGAACAAAGACTGTAGTGTACTGGTTCTCAACCTGTGGTTTGCAACCTCCCTTCAGCTCTCTGTCTGCAAAGATATTCACATTACAATTCATAACAGTAGCAAAATTAGAGTTATGAAGTAGAAACAAAAATAATTTTATGATTGGGCTCACCACAGCATGAAGAACTGTATTAAAAGGTGGCAGCACTAGGAAGGTTGAGAACCACTCATATAGAGGACATACTAGTGACACAAGAGTTAGGGACTGGAGTCCTTCATGCTGCAGAAGCCCTGATCTGCAATACTTCTCTGCCTCTTGCTGATTAAGGCAATGAGCAGGACATTAAATAGGCTTCGAAAAAGCCATAAATTGTTGGAAAAATATAAACTATAATTGAGAAAAATACACAATTCTGTTGTGTTTTTGTTACAAGTGGAGTTAGGGTTTTTTTAGACAGTTTTGTGTAGCCCAGGCTGGCCTCAAACTTGTTATATGGTTAAGGGTGACATTCCATTCCTGATTCTCCTGCCTCCACCTTCCAAGTGCTAGGGTTACAGGCATGCACCATCACACACAGTAGACACAACTCTAGAACAACAAATGTGTCTGCACATCCATGAAGCACCAGCAATGACCTCCAGTTACCTGCTGTTTCTGTTTTAGTTACACATTACTTAATACAAATATATTAGAGTTACATTACATATACATTAATCAGTTCAGGAGATTAGCAAAGTAGTGAGACTGTATCTCAAAAACAACAAAATAAAGAAAATTATTATGAAAACAAAACCATCATTAACGTTTAATCCCACACAAATCAGAACTGTTCTGAAGGGCCTTTTAGTTCTTTTAACAAAGTCTCACTGAAGTCCAGGCTGACCAGGTACTCATGTTTGCTCTGCACCCATCTCAGTAGTACTAGGGTCACACCACCATATCCAACTACAAAACAAAACTATTTTGAACCACCAAAATCAATTAACACTTGAAAAGGGCTATAGCTAAGCTGTCAGGCTTCTTTTTCAAGGAAGCAGAACAGAGTACAGGGAACTTATGGGACTGGTACCCTGAACCCATTTGCTTCTTTATAAGAGAAAAATTACTTCTTAGTCTTCAATTTAATCAATCAGTACCATTATGTTGGGAACACCTTAAAAGAGATTATGATGCCCCAAACAGTTGCACACTGTGATTGGTAACTGCTACTTTTTAATGCTTAATGTTACAGGGAAATTTTAAAATATATATGTAATTAAGCAAAGACCTATATGTAAAACTGGAGGCCAAAATCTCACTACATCTTCTGGTATTGAGAGTAAAGCTATTAAATAATCAATTTAACGGTTTAATGAACTATTGATAGTGTTCACTAGTATTGAGGAGAGGGCCAAAATTGCCTTCACAGACCATCATCTGTCTTATTAGATACACTGAAGAAGTTGGAGAATACAGATTCCAGACAATATCAAATCACGGTTAGCACTACTTAAAATATTAGCTGGAGAAAGGACTTGGCAGTTAAGAGCTCTTATTGCTCTTGCAGAAAACCTGACTCCATTTGACAAGATTCACACTGTGCCTCAGAATCCCAGGTCCAGGGAATCCAATACCCTCTTCTGACTCTTACAGGCATCAGACATGCACTTGGTGCATATAGGCAAAACACTCATATATACATAAAATCTAAATTTTTAATTGTATTAGAAATACCAGGTATGTTTGAAAAATGCATAGGGGAATCATATTTACTTTTAAAAATACACACAATGTGCCTGTGTGCATGCGTGCATGTGTGCGTGCGTGCGTGTGTGTGTGTGTGTGTGTGTGTGTGTGCATGTATTTAATGAAGTCATATCTTGCAGGATAATAATGCACTATGAACTAACAAAACCTCCAGTACTGTGTATGATAACCTCCTTAACAGTTGTTGATCTGGGGAGTCCAAGATACTCCTAAAATAATGTAGACTATTGCTGTTGTCCATGGTTACCTCCCAAAAGTTAAAGGTAAGTCCCTTTTGCTGAAGACACCAAACACTTTAGATACAGAACTCAGAGGATTCAAACTGGACCTGATCCAGCCCCCACCCTGCCCCAGGACTAGCTTCCATAGGGCCAGTTGGCAAGCTTCCAAGGGAGGAAAACAATAGTATTACACAGCTATGGTTTCTATGAGCCACAACAATGGACAACATGGAAAGATATCCCTAAAGGTACGATAGTGGCACTAATATCTATGTGGAAACTAACAGTTAGCTGTCTAATTAGACTTTAAGGCATAATCAACAGGAAGGAAATCATGGCTGGTATTGGAAACATAGCAAATTACCAGGGGCTAGTGAAGTGGTGGATCTCCCAGGAGAACCTGCTACTGCCACTTTCCTAAATGAGCATAATTCTTAACTGCATTGTAAATGCTAATCCTTCTATCCTCAGATCAGTATATCTCTCACACCTCATCCAAGAAGTCGCTATGTTTCAGCAGATGGAGACCATTACAGGAAACCACAACTGGTCAAAATGGACAATACAACTGACCATGGGGTGCCCATTCCCACCTCAGTTGATACACCTACAGCACAACCCTTACACCTAATGTCCAGGAACATCATGGGAGAGGAGTAAAAAGACTATGAGAACCAGAAGACCAGGAAATCTGCTATGTCATAGCAGCTATGAGATTGTATCTTCTGGATATGACAGGGAAGTTACACCCATGAAATCTCAACAACATACCTTTTTTCTAAACAACCGAAAAATGACAATGTTAGTGGACATACCTCTAGTTGTAGGAAATATCATGGAGCCCCACTCCTACACAAAGAGCTACAGGCAATTAATGATGGCTGAGAGAGACAGAGACAGTCTTCCCCAGACTATTGAACAACCCAACTGGTTATCCAATACCATGTGGTCAGCCCTTAACATATACATACAAGCAACACTTAAATGGACTCAACTTTTGCATTTATGTATTTATACATATATTTGTAGTTCATATTTGTGTAACAATAATTAAAGAAAGGATACTAGACTGGATGGTGGTGGCACACACCCTTAGTCCCAGCACTCTGGAGGCAGAGATCTCTGTGAGTTCAAGGCCAGTCTGGTCTACAAAGCTACACGAAGAAACCCTGTCTTGAAAAAAAAAAGATAAAAAAGATTTTTAAAAAGGATACTAATTTGAGAGTGAGGACAGATGTGAGGATTGGAGGGAGAATGAGGAAATCATATAATTACATTTTAATTAAGAATAAGCCAGGTGGTGGTGGTGTACACCTTTGATCCCAGAACTTGGAAGACAGAGGTAGGTAGATCTCTGTAAATTCAAGGCCAGCCTGATCTACAGAGGGAGTTCCAGGACAGCCAGTGCTGTTACACAGAGAAACCCTGTCTCAAAAATCAAAACTAAAACAAACAAATAAGAATAAAATAAAAATGTAAATCTACTCAAAATTCCATAACTAACCCAAAAGTGTCAAAGTAATTTCATCACAAACTTTCACCAAAAACAAAACAAAACACTTCACATCAAAGATGATAAAAGAGGCTGACATATTTTCTGCTCTGTAGCTAACCTCCCTTTTGTTTGAAGATTCAAGAAAGATGAAGGAGAGCAAGATTCACTCATGGCTGCCTCCCCACCCATCCTTCTTTCCTCTCTTCTTTCTCTATGGCCTCAATTCCTAAATATACCCATCCCTCAAGTGGGATTGTTCTTAAATTATTCTACACTTTTGCTTTAGGTGTGTATGTGTGCGTGTGTGTGTGTGTGTGTGTGTGTGTGTGTGTGTGTGTGTGTTAGACGCATGTGGGTATAGGAATGCCTATGCCTATGTATGTGCATGCAGAGGTTAGATGGGAGGTCAGGTGTCTTCCTCTAGTTCTTTCTGCCTTGTCCTGCATGACAGGGCTTGTCACTGAATCAGAAGCTTGCCGTTATGTCTAGGCTGGTTAGCCAGCAAGCTCTGGGAATCCTCTGTCTCTGAAATTATAAGTATATGACAATGGCAGCTTTATACACAGGGATTGTATAGCAAGGACACTGACCCACCAAACCATCTATACAGACTCTGTTCTTAAATTAAGGGTATCATAGAGGGTATCAGTAACTGCACTGGGCAGAGACATTACTAGTCCTAGTGGCAATGTGGCATCCACTGATTAAGTATCTACAAACATAAGACATACCTCTAACAAGTGATGTTTTTACTTTCTTGAAATGATTTTGTCATCCAGCTCTGAATGAGCAAGAATTGAGAGCTTTACTATATATTATCTTATATATGATACTATAAAATACTATGAGCCACTAAAAGAAAAATATACTTACACAATCCAATGCTTACTTTGAATTTTCCTACCCCATATATATTTGTTGCTCTTCTGTGCTATCTATACATTTAAAATGTTTTATTTATTTAATGTGTATTGCGTGTGTGTATGTGGGTGCACACATCTGCCATGGTGTGCATGTAAGAGTCGGAAGATAACTTGCCGGTGTCTATTCTGTCCTTCCACCATGTGGAAGGATCAAAGGAATCAACTCAGGTCATTAGCATCTATGACAGCTGAGCCACCTCACTCCGAGACTTTCCAAGTCTGACATAAGTTTTTCTACTTTTGTACTGGGCTTTCTTAATCTTTCTTAATAGAAGTTGTCAATAAAAAAAAAACTTCAAGTAAGCATAGGAATACAATTTCAATAGCACAGTCTGTATTACTTTCTTTGTCTTGTTGCTTTATAGCTTCTTTGGCCATAGAAGCAGTTTCAATTAGTTTGGGCTCCAATTACATAAGACAATGATGAGGTGGCCAGGAAGATGGATTAGTCAGTAAAGTACTTGTCACACAAGCGTGAAGACCTGAGTTCAGATCCCCAGAACACATGTAAAAAGCCAGGTGCAGTGAGTCGCAAGTACCTGTAATCCCAGGAGCCAGACAGGAAGATCCTAATGCTTGTTGGCCAGATGGTGTAGCTGAGTCAATGAGTTCCACCTTCAGTGAGAAACCCTGTTATATGTTCACATCTTCTCATGCATACATGAACACATACACAAACATATAACATATACACACACATGCAAAGAAGATCACAATGAATTAGGAACAGCAGCAGCTGCTGGATTCAAACAGAACATTCTGATGACACCTAGACAGGGTAGTAGTAACGGACGGAGTGAAGATACTTTCATGGTGGTTGGAGAAGAAAAAAGAACAAGAAAGAGAAAGAAAAAGAGGAATGACCCCCTCAAGACAAGCTATAGCTCCCTAACATATCCCCTGTGAAACTCTATCTAGTTGACCCAACTTCTGAAAATTGCCACAACTTCACAAGTGATGCCATCAAATTATAAATCCACTGGCAGATTAACACACTGATTATATTGAAGCTCTTTCGTGGTCCAATCATTAAGTTTATATCACATGATCCCATTGAGGGCACTTAGCATCCAAACCACAAAAACCCATCTGGCATAGTTATGAGACTCTAAAGCTTGCACTTCAACATATGAAATAGAAGGTATAGAAATGAAATTAGTGGGCTGGAGAGATGGCTCAGCCATCAAAGGCAAGGCTCACAATCAAAAATATAAGAAATGAAATTAGCTTCCTCTGTATATCTTATTTTCTATATTTGTTTCTCTGGCAAAAGCTTCATCATGAAAAGGAGGAAGTTCAAACTGAAGTGAGTTACAAACTTCATTTCCAACAGTGGATTGTGGCTTGGCCTTGAGGTAAGATAGATGAGATCATGGACGGTTGCTCTTGACCTTTCTTCCTCCTGTTCCCTCCCCTTCTTCTACACCCACTACTCTCTACAAGCTCTCTTCTCCCTTTCTCCTGAGGTTCCATGTCAAGGTATGTCTGCAATGACAAAGCTTTACATTTTTACTATTTACTTATGTGATGGAAGACAGAGGACAACCAGTAGGAGTTGGTTCTCTCCTTCTATGAACTGTGTGGGTTCTGGGCATGAAACTCAGGTTGCCATGTCTTTACCCACTGAGCTGTCTCACCAGAACCTTGACCGACTTTTCTAGATGGGGGAGGCATGTGAAGTGATCTCACAGCCTGAGCTGACAGGTGGGGACAGTGAGCACAGGCAACTGTGCTGCCTTCCGTGGGCTTTATTTGGGGTGCATCCCCACCTCTTCTTCAACCTCTCTCCATCCCACCAATGCATCCAGACCAAGCTGTTTAGGAAGAGAAGGAAGCAGGAAGGAAAAGAGATGTTTTCTATGTCTTTTGTTCCTGTTCTCCTTTCTTCCCATTATTCAAAGGTCCCTCACTCTTTCCAGCTCCTGCACCTAACTTCCTAAGTGCATAAGGACAGGACTGACTCTGGCTAACAGCCATGAGCACCTCTAGTCAGGATGTGAGGGTTTGAATTCTAGTTTATTAGGTACAAACTGTGTGATGATGGCAAACTAACTTTCCCTTTCTAAGCCTTAGCTGTGTGGTCTATGATTATAATCTAAATTAAATGATAAAGTGATATAGGGCATGCAAAATCTTTATTGCTTAGCCACAGAAGCTCTAATTTTTAAATGATTATTTCTCATCATCTCTATTTTGAGTGATGATGGTGGCTGTCTGCTTTTGTGAATATACTTTTTTGAGAGTCTCATTGTTTTTTACAGTTTAGCTTCTGGGGACTGATGTGCTGGGGCCACATACCAGAAGTTAATGCTGCTGGGCTGTTTCAATCTTTCAGTATCTTCACTCTCCTGCTCACCTTGACTGATTTTATCCTCTCTGTAAACATATTTTAAGAAACTACAAAGGGAGCCACTAAGTTAACCATAAGAAGCCTGACAGGGAAGACTGTGCTAAAAATGGAGAAGCACAGCCCTGACAGGAAGTGCAGAGACAGGCTTAGGATTTACCATTCTTCTTAGACTCTGAAGAAAGGGGTCTCTGAGGAATGACTGTACTTGTGACTAACATTTGCTTTATGACCAGCGACGGTTAGTATCTTTTAGCTTTTAACCTTCTGCGTTTATTCTTTACAGAAAACATATTTAGGTAGAAAGAATAATCTCTTGAATGTATGTACACAAATTTGGGGCTTCTGTTTCTTCCCTTCCTACAGTCATTTTTGATAGACAAAAGGTAAAATCAGAGTCATAGCATCATTGTTTGCTGTTAAAGTTATCTTCAGAGAAGCACAGCCTGAGTTATGTAGCAGGGAATGTACTGTCATGAATTAGATAGATATCCCATTTGCCCCCTAACAAAAGCTAAGGCCCAGTCATGTGAGGGGTGCTTAATGCAGTTTTTATATATTTACACAAAAGGACATGAAATCCCTCCATGGTTAATGAAGTGGGAAGATAGAACATAATGGTTTGGGCTAGAAGGCATGTGTTGAAGTCCCCTTATACCTTCCTTCCCACCCTAGTAAGGATTGCCAGTCACACATCCATCCCGTTTTTATGACTGGCGTCTGTACTAGCAGACACCTTTTCTGTTTGTTACTGTCAGCCACCCCTAAAGTATGAGCGGCTGATGTACACGTGCCTACAATGCCTGGAGTGGAGTCAAGCAGATTACAGGTTTCGATAAAAACTTACTCAGTAACAACCAAAAGAGGCTGTGTAACGGTGACCTTCTTTGTGTATTCACCAGTTTGTTTCCCACTCTCTCACTTCTCTGATGTCTCATGTCAGCATGATGAAGAAGAACAAGATGGAAGCGGATGAGCAGGAGCCTCTCTGGATCCCACAGTCTCATGGTCTAGGGCATCTTAAGAATATACTGGATGGAGGAGAGTATTCCCCTTTTATATCTCCTCCCATTCTGGAGAGCAATTTTATTCAGGTAAATAGCACTTGCACTCTCAATTAAGTTCTAGTAACTTCCATATTTCATTTGCTCAGACAGTGAAAGGTTGAGAAGTGAATTTTTAATGTGCTAAGGGGACACTGTGGTGTTGAGGGGGAAAATTAGTGTTATAGGAAAAGTCACTTCAGATGTTCCCAACAAACTCCAAGGCAAGTATTCTGACCAAATTCTACCATAAATGTCATAATCTTGTTACACAAAATTTTTAGAACATACTATCACAGTAGGTATTCAGATCATTTCTTTCTTGGAGTTTTTAACTTTTAAAATTGTATATTTATGTATATGAGTGGCTTGCCTACAGATGGTTGTGAGCCACCATGTAGATGCTGGTATCTGAAACCAGACTCTCTATGAGAGCAGCAGGTTCTTAACAGCAGAGCTCTCTATAGCCCCTAGACCTATATTTTAAAGACAAGCATCTAAGGCAGGAGATGGGGTCAATGGTAGAGCCCTTGCATAGCATTCACAATCCCTGGGTCCATTCCCTAGTGCCCATCTAAATAAACAACAACCTGGGAAGTGCTAAGAACTGAAATGAATCTTATACATTGGCTCTGAACAGGAAATAAAACTGTCAAATAGTATCAGAGAAAACTGCTTTTTTTCTTGTAAGAATGCACCTGCATTCTGAATGAAGCCACAGAACACCTGGGAGTAGTGCTGGCTTTCCTCTCAACACTCAGCACTGGACTGTCCAAGCAAAGATATGGGCTCAGCAGTGTGAACCATGCCTGCCCCTCACAGAAATGTCATGACAGTGTCCGATGTTGAACACAGAGCTGATCCCACAGAGTATGACAAGGAAGGTGGCAGATACTTCAAAGATAAGGAGGGTTCGTGCTTCATAATGTATTCTCTGACTGATAGCAGGACTAGTGTGACTTCTCTGTGCCCAGTGTACCGTGGGGAGGAGCCAAGTCTCCAGGACACATTTCAGTGGTGTCCTAGAACACAAGATGCCCTGGAATACATGATGTCATAATTTACTGTTTTTGGCTTTCAGTTACTTGTCCTGCTAATAATCTTTCATTTTCGATTTTCTTCCTATACCATTTTTCATATTATCTCTTGTACACTCTAATTGCATAGCCCTGGCCCAACACAGGGAGGGAGTAGTTTGTGGTCTACATATCAGCCACAGACCCATATCATTGCAGTCATACTCTCTAAGATGCCCAGTTTTTCCTGGCTAGTTTTTGGCAGCAAGATACCATGATTTCTGCCTCTGGAGTTCCAAGTGAGGGGGGGGAAAGCATCTCAGAGAGCACACGGAGTGCTCATTCACTTGAACTAACTGCTAAATGCGTGCTAGCACATGACCAGCTAACATCCCATAGTACCCTTAAGTCCCGATAGTTACCTCACTCACTAGTACTGGTCCTCCCTAGGAGACCCCACAAACCAGAGACTGTGGGCAGTCATTGTGAGGTACCATGACTCACTCCCTTCTTCTCCTCTGGCCTCCCTTACACTGCTTTAGCAAGCAAGGGTTCTAGATCCATGCCTTCTATCAAGAGACTCCTTTCCTGTTCTCTGCATTCAGGTCAATAGGAGAGGTGAATCTATTTATCTGCATAACCGAGCTAACTGGGTGACTGTAGGCATCTGCTCTTCCAATCCCATCCTCAAGACCCCCAACATGATGCTGTTGGCACATCTGACACCAGAGGCTCGAAAAGAATCAGATCCCATCTTTAAAAGCCTCCTGACACCTTCCTCTACAGAGAATCTGGTGCTCACCAGGTGAGTCACAAGAATGATGACCAGGGTTCCAAAGGAACACTTCAGGTGCACTGCTTTCTCAAATGATGCAGGGGTGTCTCTAAGAGCATCCAGAAAAAAAATGGTCTATGACAACTAACAATTAAGTGGGGAAAAAAGACTACAGTAACAAGGACTGAAGGCTCAGCAGAGTCTCTCTAGAGCTTGCCCTTCCTCCCACAGCAGGCTCTCTTCATCAGGATTTGTTCTGGCCTCATCTCAGCCACTAACTTGGTCTATGATCTTGATCAAGTAGCTTTCAACTTCATTTTAGACACTTTCATCACTATATTTATTGTGTGACTTTTTCATATATGTGTACTAAGTACATTGACCATATCCATCCTTCTTTACCCCCATGTTCCCCAACCCCATCCCATTGAGCTGCATCTCACACACTCTCCTTTCACTTTCTTATCTTGTATATTTGTGTAATTGTGTGTGTGCATGCATACTCGTTACTTGTGCATATGTGTGTGTTCACACAAGGGTGTATGTGTGTCATGGTGTACATGAGGAGGTCAGGGAACAACCTCAGGTGACAGTCATCCACATTCTACCTTGATATAAACTTGTTCACTGCTGTGTATTCCAGATTAGCTAGTCCAGGAGCCAGAGATTTTCCTGTCTTCTCCTCCTCCCCAGTAACGGCAAGCTAGAATTTGATGCTTGTACTGAGTTCTGAAAGTGGAAAAGCAGGCCATCAGGCTTACATAGTAAACGCTTTATCTCCTATTTCTTCAAATGCTTTCCATTTTCCTCCTGCGTCATTGCAGCACCTGTTGTCTTCATGCTAGTAACCATTCTGACCGGGATAATAAGAAATCTCAAGCCGGGCGGTAGTGGCGCACGCCTTTAATCCCAGCACTCGGGAGGCAGAGGCAGGCAGATCTCTGTGAGTTCGAGGCCAGGCTGGACCGATAGCCTCCAAAACAATACAGAGAAACCCTGTCTTGTAAAAACAAAAAAAAAAAAAAAAAGAAATCTCAATGTAGTTTACATTTGAATTCCTAGATGTCTAAACCTCAACTTTGATTACTTTTTTTCTTCCTTTTTTATTTAAGTTAGAAACAAGCTTCTTTCACATGTTAATCCCAGCTCCTTTCCTTCCCCTTCTCCCCTGCCCTCCCCACCAGGCACCCCCAGTCTCCACCCAATCTCCACTCCGATCCCCAGGGAGGGTGAGGCCCTCCATGGTGGATCTTCAGAGTCTGTCATTTCATCCAGGGCAGGGCCTAGGCCCTCCCCCAAGAGTCCAGGCTGAAAGAACATCCCTCATTGTGGGATGGGCAGCCCAAGACCATTTATATGCCAGGGATAAATACTACCCAAGGCCCCATAGATTACCTAGGCCTCCTCACTGACAACCACATTCAGAGGGTCTGAATCAGTCTGGGGTCCAAGAGCTCCCCCTTGTTCAGGTCAACTGTTTCTGTGGATTAAACCAGCCCAGTCTTAACCCCTTTGCTCATCAGTCCTCCCTCTCTGTCACTGGATTCCAGGAGTTCAGTTCAGTGTTTAGCTGTGGGTGTCTCCGTCTGCTTCCATCAGTCGCTGGATGAAGGTTCTGTTTCTCAGACTCTCTGACAGTGGGATTATATGCTGGCACTCCCCTGACTCATGCCTAAAATCCATATACATATATATATATATATATATATATATATATATATATATAGAGAGAGAGAGAGAGAGAGAGAGAGTGTGTGTGTGTGTGTGTGTGTGTGTGTGTGTGTGTGTGTGCATCTGCAAGTCCAATGTTGGAAGACAAGTTTGTGAAATCACCTTGTCCTTTATATGTGGGTCCTAGAGATTGAAGTTTGTCTGTGGGCACCTTTGCCTGGTGAGCCATCTCGCTAACCCTAAGCCTCAACTTTTCAGGATTAATTATAATTAGGATGTACAGTTTCTCATGATAAATGATGTTCTGATCATTTAGGAAGATGTTCTGAACATTTAATAAGACGAGATGTCTCTCAGGAGGTCCCACCTACACTGATCTGGGACACAAGACCATTGATCGTCTCATTCTCCAAGCTGGAAAAGTCTTTTTATAGGTCTCCAAATAGGTCTTCAGATGACACTACATTTCCATTTGTTTGTAGGTTTCTCCCACTGCAGTTTGTGACTCTTTCTGTGCACAGTGCTAAGAACATGAGACTCAAAGTAAAGCTGATAAGTGGCCGAGCCTACTATTTACAGCTCTGTGCTCCTGTATATAAACAGGATATCATATTTTCTCAGTGGGTAGACCTCATCGCCCTCTTGACTCAGGAGAAAGCCAGAACTTCCAAAGTATCAGAGGTCTCAAGCCTCTCAGAAATCACAAACAGCACGGATATCACAGACTCAATGGACATCATGGAGATGACAGCTTTCTCAGAGATACGGGCCATGCACCCACACGCTCGCATATACTCTGCTAACATCAATCAAAGCGCAGACTTCTCAGAATTTACAGATGTCACCGATATCACAGACGTCACTGACGTCACTGACATTCCAGAATATCAGGCCACAGATGTTCCAGATATAAAAATTGTCACAGAAGTCACAGAAGTCATAGAAGAAAAAGATGACACAAACATCTCAGGGGTTACAGTAGTATTTGAAAACGACGACATATTAAAGGCCAAGCAAGAGGAAAAGGTATGTGTTGTAGGAGACTTTCATTCTTTTTGCTTGTTTGTTTGCTTTGTTTTGTTTTTCAAGACGGGGTTTATATAAAGTTTTTGAGCCTGTTGTGGAAGCGGCTTTGTAGACCAGGTTGGCCTCAAACTCACAGAGATCTGACTGCCTATGCCTCCTGAGTACTGGGATTAAAGGTGTGTACCACCACCACCACCGCCAGCTGAAACTTTCATTCTTCAATGATCAAGCGTGGGAGCTGTGACCAAGTTCTCTGTTAACAGCGATGATGAAAACGCTGCAGAACCAACTCTGAGTAATACAATTTTAACAAAGGACTCAACCCCTGAGCCCGGTATAAGTCATAAAATATTCCCTGAAATACTGACCATCCTTACCTCAAACTTGCCGCAGTATCAGCAAGCAGTGGTGTGATAAAAAGAACTTCAGGGTCAGAATCAGAAGACCTGGGTTAGAATCTTAGCCTTCTGGGTATTCTATATATGACTGGCTAAATGGCTGAACCTACACAACAACCTAAAATGAGAATGATAATATAATATAATATAATGCTATTTTATGATTTGAATATGAGGATGGACTGAAGCTTCAATAAGAAAATATGAGGACAGAAATCAGAAAACAAAAAAAGTTGCTGGCTTTAGAAAAGGTCAGGGAGTACAAAAAGAAAAAAGAACACAGAACTAAGAAAATCACTTGCAAACCTTGAGAGCCACATTAGGAAGTGGGGACTTAGCAAACTGAATTAAGGGACTGAGCATTTTACATATCGCAGGCTAACTAGATTGCTCAGCAATAGAGAGCACTTCCTGCTCTTCCAGAGGACCCCAGTTCAGTTCCCAGCACCCACATCCTAAGCTCACAACTGCCGATACCTCCTCTTCTAGGGGATGTGATACCCTTTAAGCCTCACAGGCATCCTCTAACAGGAATGAAGAGTTCATTTACAAAGATGTGAATCATGGATTGGGGCTATGATTCAGTGATACCATATGTACTTGGTGCATACAAGGCCTTGGGTTCAACCCACAACCCTACATACACAATGAAGATGTTAATCATCCCATATCCACACCATGGCTATAATAAATAGCAAAGTAATGAAAGTATGAGAACAGTCTAACCCAGTGGTTCTCAATCTTCCTATACTGTAACACTTTAATACAGTTCCTCATGTTGTGCTGACCCCCAACCATAGTTATTTTTGTTGCTATTTCATAACTAATTTTGTTCCTGTTATGAATTGTAAATATAAATATGTAGGATATCTCATGTGACCCCAGCGAAGGGGTTTGTTTGACCCTGAGGGGGTCACAATCCACAGACTGAGAACCACTAGAAACTCCTGCCAAGAACCGTCAGGCAAAGTTAGAACTACAAAAAGCAAGTGCCATATTCAAATTGTTTAGGGGCTCCCAAAGTATATCAAGCTCATGGCAAAACTCTATTAGACCAATTAGTGTGATGTGCTTGTTAAAATTGTCCAAAAAATGTTTCTTGGCCCAAAAGGCCAAGTAAAAAAGGGGGGGTAATAATCTCTTAGAAGTAAAAGTTCACTGTTACATACACTCTAAAGGAAAATGGGGCCGAGGAGACGCTCAGTTAGTAAATTCCTCCTGCACAAGTGTGAGGGCCTGGGCCTGACCCCCAACACCTACATAAAAAGCTGGCATGCTGCCACACACCTGAAAATCCCAGCCCTGAGGAGCCAGTCCAGGCTAGTCGGTGAGCCTCTAGGCCCGTAGAGAAATGCTGCCTCAAAACATAAGATGCAGGGAGGAAGATGCCCATGTAGACTTCTGGCCTCGACAAGCACATGCATGCACATGTGTGTACACATGGACATGCACTTGAACACACATGCATTGCACATACATACAAAAGAAACAACACATACTATGAATAACAGTTTGTCTCTATATTGAGGAAATATCTGTGGTTTATACCTTAGTTACTCTTCTGAATTCTGTTTCCTATGCTATAGGTAAGTACTTTTAAAGTAGGATATATTCAAATAGTTTTTCAGTTTTTAATGACAGGTAGAAAATTCTGATGACAATCAGCCAGACCTGGTGGCAAAAGCACCTGACAGAAGCTTGTGAGTCCAAGCTTCTGGGGTCACATGAGATATCCTACATATTTATATTTACAATTCATGACAGGAACAAAATTACAGTTATGAAATAGCAACAAAAATAACTTTATGGTTGGGGGTCAGCACAACATGAGGAACTGTATTAAAGTGTTACAGTATAGGAAGATTGAGAACCACTGGGTTAGACTATGATCCCCAAGCTACTAGATGCTCCTAAGAGCAGCCTGACTGAAGAGTAGATGTATTTCTAGAAAACCTTCCTTACCCTGTAATGCAAAGATGAGTGATGTGACTAGATACCAGTCATGTTGTGTGAGGTGACTCTGGTGTGTGGCACTCTGAATTGAATGCACTGCATTAGGCTGCGGTGGGGCCTGCCGTGGTTCCCAAGACCTGTGAACACTCAGTAAGTTCAGATGAAGTGACTAGAAACTGCTCCACATACAATCTGCTTCTACACGGTGTCCTTCTGCTATCTGATTTGCTCTTGCTTGTCATTTCTCAAGGAAAATGTCATGAAACATGGGTGTCTACGAAACATGAACAGTAAGAACGAGTTCAGAGAATCCCCCAAACATGTCACCATCTCAGACCTAACAATCACTTTCCAAGGTGAAAAATGTTTCCAGACTTCTTTGGCTCCTATAAAAAGTGAGGGAAACATATGCAAAGTAATGGATGATGAAACCAGGGAAGAAAAGATGACTGACCTTCCAAAAGCGGGTCTCAAGGCTACAGTATCCAGGTCAGTAGCATGGGAAATGCTGTGGGCATTCGGGGAGTGTACACTACACATACAGATGTGTGATTGCTTCCTTGTAACTCAGGCATTTGTCTCTGAAGACTCTCAGACAGATACAATGTGACAGAACGATGACACAGGTACCTCTTAGCCAACCATATTTGAGTCAGTCTTGGTTAATTTTTATTTCCATACCAGCTTCTTAGGCTTCTGCACTGGTATTCCGGCTTTTGGCCAAACGCCAAAAGCATGCTTTTTAAGAAATGAAGAGTAGTAGCACAGGGCCCACATTCTAGAGATGGAGTGTTGACTTCTAGAAAGATTGTGGGTATTTTCATCTCTATACTTAGCTACATTTTCTTCTACAGAGCCTCTATGTAGCCTTTACTTCCAATACTATTGAGAAAACTATTTCCATTGTTTTAATACTTCTACAGCAAAGATGATTGCAAGCTGAAAGTGAGTGAATGCTGTAGCGGTATGAAGGTACAAGTCATTCTAGGGTAACACTTCAAAAGATCTAACAGCTTCATTAGCTGGCAGCCCATACCCATAGTCCCAGCTACTCTGCAGGCTAAGGCAAGAGAGCCCCTTCAGCACACGAGTTCCAGGACAGCCTGAGAAGCATAGTTAGACCCTGCCTTAAATAACTTACATTAGTAAAAATAAAAATGAGGAATGCAACTGTGTCTACCTTTTAAACATATTAAAAGAAGGATTGGGAGGGGAAGCCAAGTGGCGGATTACATACTTAGAAAACACAAGGCCTTGGGTTTGATCCTCAGCACACATACACAGGATAAGAAAAATTAACTTCGGAATGAAATCAACTAGAATTTATTTTTATTTTTATTTTTAACTCTGAATTATCTTTTGGTTTATGCCATTTTTCTTATAGAACTCTACAAAATATATTTTATTTCTTAAAACTTTAATTTACTTTTTCTAAGCCAGACAAAAACAGCACAATAAATATTATTCTGAGTTTATCCTACTTGTTACAATGAAGATCAAAGATTTCTCACGTCTTAGAATCTTGGTGGGCAAAATGTAGCAAGTTTAGCATAAACCTGGAGAAACTTAGTATTAGTCACACAAATACAGAACAGAATGGTCATGACATTTTGACCACACTGGAAAATGTATATTCTTGGTAACAGAAAATACCTATTTAATAGTAAGTGTCCCAGGATCATGACAAAGTTATTTACTTTTGTTTTGAGTCTTACTACATAGCTCAGACTGGTCTCAAATTCACTATGTAGCTCATGCCAGTCTTGAACTTATGATCTTTCTATCTTAGCCCTAAGTATTAGGACCATAAGCAACACCACTACACCTAGCATTTTTTTAGTAAAAAAATTCTAGGGTCAGCAAAATGGCTCAGTAAATAAAAGTCTTGCTGTACATGCCTGATAGCATGAGTTAGATTTCCAGAAGCAAAGCGAGAGAACTGAAAATGATCTCTGACCTACACAGACAGACAGACAGACAGACAGACAGACACACACACACACACACACACGTGTTCACACACTCACACATATATCATATATACTCATACACACAACATATATACTCACAATAGTAGTAATAAAACTTAATTCTAAATGTGTTCTACTTAAAATTTAAAACAAATTAAGAATGTCTCCATTAATATGTCTGTATACTTTATAAGAAGTTCTATCAATTGTAATAAAACAAAGAAATATAAAAAATGTAATAATGCCAGGCAGTGATGGCACATGCCTTTAATGCCAGCACTCAGGAGACAGAGACAGGCAGATCTTTGTGAGTTTGAGGCCAGCCTGATCTGCAGAGTAAATTCCAAAGCTACAGACACCCTGTCTCTAAAAACAAACAAAAATAGTTATAGCATGTTTAACTGCCAGACACACTGGTACACACTTTTCATTCCTGCATATGGGAACAGACACAGGCAAATCTTTCTGAGTTAGTAGCCAGCCTGGTCTACACAGGCTAGTTAGGGCTACATAGTGAGACCTCATCCAGTACCCTCTCCTAGACTCTGAGGGTACCTGCATTCACATGTGTACAAACCCTCACCCCTTCCCCACATATACATAATTAGAAAAATAAATCTTTAAAACAGAAAATAAATACCTATCAATAGCTACAACAAATACTAATTCCTTTACTCATTAGTTATGTTCAGACTGTGGCTTCTTCCCATCCTGCTGTAAAATAAAACCCTGCTGTATATTCGTCTTTGGATTTTCTCTTCTAGTCCTCCTCAGTTCTGCATGCTTGTCTTTTCTGGTGAGCATCTCTGTGTACTAAAACAGACTGCTTCCTGATTAGCCCTTCTTCTGTGGTCATGTGGATTACCAGCAGGTTTTAACTATGAAATACTATGCTCCAATAAATTACTTCCCTCTTTGAGTTGTTACTTTGATATGTATTTCTGCAAGTGAAAGGATAACTATTTGTTGTGTAGATGGACAGTTAGTTGATTCATGATCTGGTTGCAGTAAAGTTCCCCACCACATATGAGGACAGCGTGAGTGTGACAGACATCTTTTTTCCAGTTGTTTTTTACATTTCTTTGTTTGTCCTGTATTTGTATGCACATGTACAGAAATCAGAGGATACTGTAGCAGTAAGTTCTCTCCTTCCATCTTGTAGGTCCCAAGGATCAAACCGAAGTCATTAGAGTTGGTAGCAAGGACTACAATAGGGCCAAGCCATCTCACAGGCCCAAAACACACTTTTCAAGTTTGTGACTGTCTCCTGGAGTCAATTTACTGTTTCTGTCTTGTAATTCAATTGGAAATGTTATGAATTTCAATCAGTTACTTAGGAAGATAGTCCATTTTTCTCTTCCCATTTTGTTCATATGTACATAACCAAATTATGTGTGTGTGTGTGTGTGTTTAAAATGGTTTATTTGGGAGATATTTGTAATTATTAGGCAGCTTGGAACTCTGTTCTCTTAGTTGTCTGCTCAAATATGCCCCTCCACACTTACTCTTTTTTGCCTTCCTCAAATCACTACTTTTCTCCCTCTGTAGCTCCCATCATCCCAGATTTAATCACAGCACATCCTAGCTGCCATAGTATATTTTGTTTGTTTATGATCTGCCTTCTCCACTGAAATAAAGCACTTCAAATGACAGGGACTTGATTATTTTTCACTGTTTATCCCTTGTTCTTAATGCATACAATGTGCCAGGTAAATATTATCTAGCAAATGAATCACACTTTGCCATTGAAAATTATTTTTGTTGCTCCAAGAACAACAAAAAAAAGGAACTCTCCTGTGTAGCTGGGGCAATGATATAACTTCCTGTTCTTCTAGCTTATTTTAGTGTTAAAAATAATTTATTATTTTCCCATCTGATTTTTGTTGGTACAGAATAGACCTTTGACTAACAACATTTCTTTTTGCCTCTCCATGCTTCGTTTGAATCTGCTTTACAAATGTTAAACTCTGTACTGATAATTTGGGGGAAGGAGTGCTGTGGATTGAACCAAGAGATTCATACACTAACAGGACACTTTAACTCTGAGGGATGCTTCCCACCTTGAAGACTTCATAATTCCATGCTTATGGGTTTAGGTCTCTTAGCACCTTTACTAAATATTTGAGTTTTTAATTTCTTCAATTGCTTTTGTTTGTTCAGTGTGTGGATGTGGGTATGTATGTGTATTTTATACCCAAATGAAAAACAGTCAACTCAAACTCAGGAGTCTTTTTGTAGGAATTCTCCAAGGCTAGGAGCTAGCTATACATACTTACAGCTCACTTTGGTTATTGCTATTATCCACAGGAAGTTTTCTACTTCCTAGTAGAGGTGGAGAAGCAACTAAAACAAATAAATGTCCCCAGACCACTGATGCGTGTGTCCTACCATCCTAGGCAATGGGGACTGACTATAGGGTCTTCTAGCTAGACAAGCACTCTGCCACTAAGCTACAACCCTACCCTTAAGAATTTTTTTTATTTTATTTTTAGCACACTGTCAATATGCAACTCAGGTCAACCTGGGACTTCCTGCAGAAAGGCTACTGGTAAACCCAACATGCTAGAGGAAAAAGGGGAAAAGCTTAAAAAAATAAATAAACAATAAATAGGAGGAAGGGGTAATAAAGGAGAAACAGAAACCATTAGTCAGAAACAGAAGGAAGACAGAAATAGAAGATGCAGGACAGAAGCAATGCCAGCCCATGGGAAACAGAGCATCCACTGCTAAACACCAGTGTGGGCCTAATAGAAACCCTAGGATGTCTTCCTTCAATGATATAAATGAATCCATCCAGTTTAGCAAATTTGTCCTGAATAATTATTTGTCAGGCCCAGGCACTCTGACATCACCCTTCTATTTTATTCCACTCTGACAACACAATTACTCCCAGGAACTAATATCCTACAAACACCATAAATTGAACTCTAACCTCATGAGACTGTTAGGCCACCATCTCTTCCTTTGCATTTTGGCTATGAAACTGCCGCATGTCTAGAACAATTGATTGGCAGGCTTTACTTGGTAGCACAACTTTCAATGTATAGAATAAATTAGCAGCTACAACCACAGCCACTCCCCTTGCACACCCCAGTTTTCTCAGTTACTTGACATGGTATAATCAATGTGCCAATGCTGATATGCTGTTATTAAGTGGCTGTAGTTTACAGTTTATAACATAGAGGTTCATACTTCATACTAAGTTCTATAGGTTTTGATGAATGTATGGTCACAAGAATCATTTCATCTCTCTAAAAGCTCCCCCAGCATTAGATTCTTGGCACATATGTGTGTGGGGTTGTGTACATGTGAGTGCAGTTGCCATAGATGCCATGGAGACCAGCAGAAAGTACTGGGTCCCTTGGAGTGTTACAAGCTGAACTCAGGGCCTCAGGAAGAGAAATATATACTGCTGAGCCACCTCTCTAGATCCCTATATTAGCTCTTAATTGCTTTTTCTCTTCAGTTCAGGGAATTGAACCTAAGGCCTTGGACATGTTAGGCAAGGGCTCTACCTTGAATCACATCCCCAACTCTTAATTGTTTTGTTCTGGTAGTTTTGTTTGCTTGCTGGCTTGAGACAGTATCTCACTATGTAACTCTGGTGTAGAACTTTGAATATAATTGGCCTCCATAATCTCATAGGGAGGAGAGGTACCTCTAGGAGGTGTGGCTTTGTTAGGAGTAGTTGTGGCCTTGTTAAAGGAAGTGTATCTCTGTGGGGGTGGGCTTTGAGGTTTCCTCTACTCAGTTTACCTGCCAGTGCCTCAGTCCACTTCCTGTTGCCTGCAAGTCAAGATGTAGCCAGCACCACATATACCTTCATGTCGTCATGCTCCCATGATGATAATGGATAATGGACTGAACCTCTGAAACTGTAAGCTGCCACCACAATTAAATGCTTTTTTTAAAATGTAAGACTTGCTGTAATTATAATGCCCTTTCACAGCAACATAAACCTTAACCAAGACACCTAGCTAGCTTGCAGTTTACTATGTTGGCCACACGGCCCCGAACCCAAAAGATATCCACCAACCTCTGTCTCTCAACCTATATCACCACACCCAGCATTGTTTTTGTTTTATCTTTAGATTATTTTTGCATTTTATTTATTCATTTAGTGTGGGTGGGGAATGAATGTGTCAGGATGCTTGTGTGGAGGTCAGAGAACAACTTGTGGGAGCTGGTTTTCTCCTTCTACCATGTGGAGTCTGGAGATCACACTCAGGTTTTCAGGCTCAGTAGCGGGTGCTTTTACCCTTTGAGACATCTTCACCAGCCCCCTTGGCTCTTTGTTGTTATTATTATTGTTTTGTTGTTGTTGTTGTTGTTAATAAAATTTACAAAGCTAACAGGGTGAAAAGCACTTAGTAGGTGCTATGTTTCCCTATATGATCATTAGAAATTATATGAATTCCTACATAAGCAGCAAAATAATGATACAAGGATATTGTAACTTGGCAAATTAAATTCTTTAAGACTTTACCCTTTAGCTTCCTATACCATTAATCTACTAAATACTAGGAAGAAATAAATAAGAAAATAAAAACAAAACTAAATTGCTATTCTAAGTAATCCTCTTGAGTTCTGTTCCATGGGGACATATTTGTATGGGGAATATTTCTGGTATACTATGAACTCCTTTTTGCTGCCTGTTTGCACTGGGAACATAATTAGTAGCTATCATCTAATTAAAAATGTTAGTTACAAAAGAAAGATGTAATATTTTAAGAACATAATGGAAGTCACCTAACTTTTATTCCAGAGGCATTTTTAGGAGTTAGCCAGGAAGGTGAGGTTGTATGAGTCATAACTGCCTCTACAAGTATGTGGGCAGGGAACTCTCTCACACTCCAAGAGGGGAAAGGCTGAGTAGCAGCTGGTGGAGATGCAAGCAGACTTTATGCTATTACATACAATTTGATGTTGTGACTTTTATGAATTGGATAGAATGTAAATAAACAATCTTACCCTGGTGTAATCACTAACAGTCTAGATTTGCTAAGCATGGTTCATTGCTACTCCTGAAGCATTTTGAAAATGACTAGTGATCTCAGACCCGGCCGTTCTTGTGTAAATATTTGTGGTCACAGTGACAGCTCCTTGAAATGTGTTGTTTATTTTTACAGGAGCACAAACACTGATTCAGACACTTCAGGTAAGAAACGAATTCCAAGACAAGTTTTATTGTGCTCTTCAGTAGAGGAGTCACCCGGGTTCTTATAACAGTAGAACGAAGGGTTCCAGCTGGACTTTGATGCCTTCCCGTTCTAAACACTTCACCCTTGAGAGACTCTCCCAGGTGTGCCGGTCACTCTGATTCCCCAGTTCCCTGAATCTGATCAGGCATGAACCACTCCGAGGAGACTGCTACGGATGGAGTCCAACCCACAGCAGTAACAGAACCTCACATCCTTACAGATCTGTATGGGGAGCATTTTTGGTAAATTAAAAATTACTTGCCCCTCTGCTCTTCCCACTTATGTCTTCAGCCTAACACTCACTTTTATTTAATGCTTGGGAATTTCTTCTTAACACATTCCCATGTCTTAAGGAGTCTTTAACATTCAACAGCAAGCATTTGACAAGGCAGTTGTCATATAGGCTGATGTGGAAACCTTGCCCTTTGGGGACTCACCTCTGAACCATTCTGTGAGCTGAACTAAGCCTCAGCTACATCACACGCATAAAGAATAGTATGGAAAGAATACAGAGGACTATTTAACTTGATTTAAAAGGAGAGGAAAAATACTTTAAAAAAACACTATTTAAAGACATTTATGGTCATACTTGAGTCAGTTCTACCAAAAAAGTAAAGGAAAGAAGATTATTGGGTCAATAATAACTTTTTAAAAAAGATTTGCTTATTTATTTTATGTGTATGAATGTTTTGTCTACATGTGTATATGTGCACTGTGTGTGTGTGTGTGTGTGTGTGTGTGTGTGTGTGTGTGTGTGTGTGTGTGTGTGTGCCTGATACTGGGCAAGGTCAGAAGAGGGTATCAGATGCCATGGAACTGAAGTTCCAGTGGTGATCCATCAAGTGAGTGCTGGGAACTGAACCCAGGTCCTCTGAAAAGATCAGCCAGTGTTCTTAACCACTGAGCAACCTCTCTAGCCCAATATAGTACAGCACCACACAGAGCCTGGAGGATCCTGGGGGCCACTGATCAACTTAGCTGAATCTGTAAGCTCCAAAAGTCAAGATGCACACACCTGAGGATGTCCTCTGATCTCCACATGTACACAGGTGCTCACATACATGTATATACATGTACACCCACCACACACTTATGTGCCCACGCAGAGAATTATTCTCAGTCTACATGTATGAACAAGAGAGACAAAGAACATGAATGAATATTTGGGAGACAGCATGACGAGGACATATAAGTCCATGAAACAATCTGGGAAAGAGAGCCAGAGGTACGGAGGGAAGCACTGAAGAAAGGCAATTGAATGCTGATGTTGAGTCAGAAGGCCCAGGCTTTAGTTCTAACAGTACTTCCTCCATTGCATGAATATGGCATTTATCTGTCTCTGTGTGTACAGCTGGGCCATTGGGCTGAAGAGGGCATTTTGACAGTTATTTTTCTAAAAGCTAATAATTTTATGCTGCTGATGGCCCATTTCTGTAAAGCTAGCAGGCAGCTTGAAGTGGGTGTCTGGGTCACCAGGGTTAACCACAGATCCCACAAAGGAGTAGCAAAAGTGCCCCTGGAGCTTGCTGAATCACAGCATGGCACAGTTTACAGTGTGGCATGCAGGTTGCCACAGAACATTAACTGTTTTCCCCTTTGTTTTCTCTCACATGCTTTCCCATTGCTTTCTTCTCTCCTCTCCATGTCTTCCCATTTTTCTTTCTCAGGCTTATACAGTTTTTCAGTTTTCCCCCTGATTAGCATTTCCTTTCCCCTTTTCACTCTCCTCTAGCTCGTGATTTCCCCTTCCACACACTCTTCCCATTTGTTAACACTCTTTACCTCAAGAAAGCAAAGACTACCATATCCTAAACCCTCATTCTATTAAACTCAGGATGAACAAAGGCTAAAAATGTGTCTGCAATTCTAATTTCTAGGTAAGGCCAGAATAATAATGCTGCCCAAAGAAGGAAAGTAAATCCCTGGTGCGGTGCGAACTTGTCTGATTCTCTCTCCCAGCTCCCAGGCAGTGCTAGCTGAGGACAGACACCCGATTCCTCTCCCACATCCTCTGCAGTTGAAGGGGGTTTCCTTCTCTTCCTCACAGTGTTTGATCCAAAGTGGCACTTCGAACGCACCGCTTCTATACACAAGGCCGTGAAATGACAGACAGGGCAGACCCCAAACTAGACCTGTCGCTCTGGACCTGAGTCCATTTCTCTCCTTTCTTGTCATTTCTTACCTTTCAAGGCTTCCTTCTCCTCAACTGTTTCTGATTCCTTTGTAGTGAGCCCAGATGGCAGGCTTTTCTCTGGTGCCACAGTATTTTTCCTAGATGAAAAAAAAAAGTGAGATCAAAGATAAGGTATATGAAATACTGTCTCCTTCCCACCCTACTTCTTTTTCATCTTCCTGTTCAATATTACAAATCAAGTTCTAAGCGGCCACGTTCATTCCCTGCTTGTGAAACCTGAACTAAAAAGGAAAAGGGAGGGAAAGCCCCGGAAGGGACCAGGTTTGTGACCCAACCGTGAGCTCCAATGGAGAGAACGTAGACTCTTGGCGAGGTGGTTAGGACATCGTTCGAATTTGAGACCCAAATTAAGTTTTCTCCTTGTGTGCCCTTTTCTCTCTCATCTCTGGCTTTCCTTCTTCCCACTTCTCCTCTAATGGCATCTCCAACACTTCCCCTCACTCCTGCTCCTCTTCCCCTCTGGCTCTCTCTCCCCACATCAAATCCTCTTCTAATTTCTTCAACCTGTACCTCATCTGTCTCCCCCTTTCTCAGGGAGAGTGTACATGCGCCAAGTAAAACAGAACAAGTCACAATCAATGGGCATACCTGTTAGATGACCCAAAGGTGAGTTTCTAATATAAGACTATGTAGATTTAAGTGGCAGACATGACACTTTCAGAAAATCTTAATAAGTTGACTCTTAACATGAATCTCATTAAACAGAGACAGATACCTACAGCTAAATACTGAACTGAACTCCTGGAAACCAGTGACAGAGAGGGATGAGTGTTGAGCAAAGGGGTCAAGACCGTGCTGGTGAAAACCACAGAGACAGCTGACCTGACAAGGGGGAGCTCTTGGACCCCAGACTGATGACTGAAAGGCCAGCATTGGACTGATCCAGACCCCCTGAATGTGATGTCAGTGAGGAGGCCTCAGCAATCTCTGGGGCCTTGGTTAGTAGATCAATATTTACCATGGTGTACAAATGAACTTTGGGAGCCCATTCCACATGGAGAGATGCTTTCTCAGCCTGGACACATGGGGAATGACAGACTCTGGAGATCCTGCATGGAGGGCCTCACTCTCCCTGGGGAATGGTGTGAGGATTGGGTGGGTGGCTGGGGTGCTGGTGGAGGGGCAAAAGAAGAGGGGAGGAAGAGGGAGCTGGGATTGACATGTGAAGCAAGCTTGTTTCTAATTAAATTAAACAAAGAAAAAAATACATATCATGTCTTTACCTAGAGCCAAGAATAAAATTCTCTTCTTTTAATAAAAAAAAACAAATTAAAAGAAAAAACTCCCAGTCACTGAAAAAAAAAACATGAATCTCATTATGTCTATTGTAACAAAAGAGGTGAAGTTGCCAATAAAGAAAGAACAGAAATGTGGAGGGAGGGGTTTGTTGTGGCTTCTTCTCTAGACTCTTGTGGTAGGCTGAATGGCAGCACCCGCAGAGGCAGAACACAGGGGGATTTTGGGGCTGCACTGGAGGAGAATTACATACTGCCGCTACTACATGGGAACTGGTTCTCACTTTATACTGTACAGGTCCCAGGGATGGAACTCAGGTCTTCAGGTTTGCCAGAAGGCACCTCTACCTGAGCTATCTTGTCTGTGCATACATCTTCCCTTGTTTGTGTTATGAATAAAAGCTTCATTATAAATACAGGTTTATTTTTAGTGGCATTTAGAGATGAGCCCAGGGCCTTACTCATAAGTCCTCCACTACTGATCTACATCCCAAGCCTATAGTGTAATTAGAAGTAACCATGTGGGTGCCAGGAACTGAACCCAGGTCCTGTGGGAGAGCAGCAATTGCTCTTAACCACTAAGCTATCTTTCCAGCTCTAATTTTATCTTTTAATTGCTTCTTTGAATTAATTTTAAACCTTTCACTTAAGAGTAAAACTATGTAGGACATTTTATGTAAGTATACATTTTGTATTTCAGACTTTTGAAATAAATTGACTTCTGTGGTTTTTGTCAGATCAGTGCACACTACTAAACTAAAAGCAAAGCCCAAGTCAGAAAAAGCTCCTCAAGAGGAAAACAGCAATATCTTCTGTGTGGCAGAAATAAAGGCTATACTAATCACTCAGAATTCAAAGCCTTTCCAATCTAATTTCTTTTCTTTCCTTGTTTTAATTTAAATTAGAAACAAGCTTGTTTTACATGTCAATTCCAGTTCCTTCTCCCTTCCCTCCTCCCCTGTCCCCCACCAATCCCCTATCCCATACCCTTTCTGCACCCCAGGAGGGTGAGGCCTTCCATGGGGATCTTCAAAGTCTGTCATATCATTTGGAACAGGGTCTAGGCTCCCCCATTTGTCTAGGCTGAGAGAGTATTCCTCTATGTGGAATGGGCTCCCAAAGTCCATTTGTATACTAGGGATAAATACTGATCCACTGCCAGGGTCCCCATAGATTGCTCAGGCCTCCTAACTGACCCCCCACGATCAGGAAGTCTGGGTCGGCCCTATGCTGGTTTCCCCACTATCAGTCTGGGGTCCATGAGCTCCTATTGTTCAAGTCAGCTGTTTCTGTGGGTTTCTCCAGCCTGGTCTTGACCCCTTTGCTCATCACTCCTCCCTCTCTGCCAATCTATTTTAGATGTGTATTTTTCTTCTTGTTTGTGGATATGTAAAAAAAAACTATGCAAGTTATAAGGATTTCAATTTATAAACTCAGTTTATAAGCTTGTTAGGAAAAGTTGTTCTACTGTGGTTTTACTTTCATCACTGTTATACTAGCCCCACTCTGTTGGGTGTTTTGGTTTCACTGACGGCGAAGACTGTGTTCTATACATATTTGTGATCGAGCTGAATATTTGGTGCTAGATAGTATTTATTTAATCCATAATTTAGCAATACACGATACTAAGTGACAATTTACTGAGTGTCATTTTTCAACCAGATTTTTACGAAATCCCATTTAAAGTATACTATAAGGCTGGGCATTGAGGTCAGTGGTAGAGCACTTGCCCATCCTAGCATTTGCAGACCCTGACTATAATGTCCATCACCCCAAGCCAAAGAGGAGAAGCAGGTCTGAAGAATGGTTTGTATTTTTTAAAGTTTCTATTTAGGGGTCGGACACATGGCTCTGCAGTTCAGGGAACTTGCTGAGTTCAGTTTCCTGCACCACACAGCAACTCACAGTCATAACTTCAGTTCCAGATCTGACATCCTCCTGGCTTCCATGGACAACAGACATGCATGCAGTACACATACATATACATACATGCAGGCAAAACACTCATACACAATACAGTTACCACTTAATTATATTCTAAAACCTGCTGGCCACTCTAAAGCATGCTTTTCATGCACTATCTCAGTTAGCCTGCACAGGAATCCATAGAGCACTCTTGTTTCCCTTAGTTACAGATGGTGAAATGAAGCTTGGAAGATATTTGCTCAAGGTATACCCAGAAAATGGTGGAAATAGCATTTGAACATGAAGAGCTCTGTAGCCAAGCTAAAAGAAAATTGTAATTCACAAACTCGTGTGTATTTCCATTTAACAGTAATCCTCTAGAGAAAAATCCTTTACCTATTCTCTTGGTTCACAGCATAGGGGATTTGTCTTCCTTTACCTGACGCTCCAAAGACGGGAAGAATTTCTTTTCCCACCTCCACATGGGAAAAAGATTTCCATGAAATCAAGAAGAGACTACTACTGGGGATGTGTTAAAATCTGAAGTACACATAAATACTTTGCTATGTGGAAATGACTTTTTTTTATAAATGTTATCTGTGATATAGATTGTATGTGACAAATTAGGAAAGACAGTCTCAACTAAGACTGGTTATTACTAATAAGAGTCCTTCTAAAGACTGATATACAGGCACCTTAGAAAAAGGTTCAGAAGATTCTTACAAAGCCAAGACATTCTTATCAGATGAGCAAAGAAAGTTGAAAAGCATGTTCATAACAAGACATACGGTTAAATCAAGGACTATTACAAATGCTCATCACAGTGGTGCATTCATAATAGAAAAAATTTGGAAACAACCCAATTATCCATCAACAGATGAGTAGTTAAACAAACTGTGGTATGTCCATATAGCAATACCACTTGGCAACCAAAAGAAATAAACTAGTTATAAATGTGTCAACAAAGCAATGTTGAATGAAAGAAGCGAGATAGTAAAAGAATAGACAGTGTGATTAAAAGATTTGGAAACAACTCATTTATGAGATAGGTCAGTAGCTATCTGGGGCACAGTTGACTAGGAGGGAAATGACTGGAAAGATATACAGAGAACTTTTGGAAGACATGGAACTATCCTATCTTTTGACTGAAGTGGCTGTTATATCCTTGTATATATTTTTGAATAAAATTATTTTAGAGCAGGGTGGTGGTGGCACACACTTTTGAGTTCCAGCACTTAGGAGGCAGAGGCAGGCAAATCTCTGTGAGTTCGAGGCCAGCTTGGTCTACAGGCTGAAAACATGAGCCAAAGTTTTGTGTTTTCATTTATTCTGTTACAGTGACTAAAACAAAAGTGCACACATGCACGTGTGCGCACATACACACATATAAAATCAGTGGTAGCCTAGCATGCCCAAAGGCACTAAGTCCAATCCCCAGCACCACTAAATAAAAAGCTAACTGTTTAGTTTTATGATGGGGCATGTCCTTCTGTATGCTGTGAATATATGTTTCTCTTATTGTTTGATAAAGAAAGCTGTTCGGCCAAAGGACAGGCAGGATGTAGCCACGCAGGATGTACAGGTAGGTACCAGACTAAGAGAATGCTAGGAAAAGAAATGCAAAGAGTGAGTCTCAAGAGAGACACCATGTAGCTGCTGAGAAAGCAAGAAGCTTGGGCATCACTGGTAAGCCAAGACCATGTAGAGATACATAGGCTAATGGAAATGAGCTAATAATTAAAAGAGTAGCCAATAAGAAGCCTGAGCCAACAGCCAAACAGTTTGTAATTAGTATAAGCCTCTGTGTGTTTATTTGGAACTAAATGGCTGCAGGATTGGGCAGGACAGAAACTAACGTCTACGGTTTTATTAGACTTAAAAGACAAAAGTACACCTGCACCCAAATCTGCTTGCTCTTACTAATGCATCTCACTGTACTGACACAGGGGTCTGTGACATAGAACGAGTGCTTGTTTATCCACTCCACTCCTGGAAATACTGCCAGCATGCAGGGAAGAATGGGCCAGTTCCCAATCTGAGGTTTCAGCTTGGAACACATTCCCCAATAGTCTGCCAGTGAAGAGCTACAGAAGCTATGTACTATGTAATCAAATGCATTTTGCTGTTTTTCTTTTTCTTTTTTAAATTAGCATAAGAATTATCAGAGGGGATAGGGAAATGACTCAATAGTTAAGAGAACTTGCTGCTCTTCCAGAAAACACAGGTTCAGTTCTCAGCATCCACATGGTGATTCAGAACAACCCATAATCCAGTCCCAGGGGAGATCCAATACCTCTTACGGCCTCTGCGGGCACCAAGAACACATGTGGTGCAGAGACTTACATGTAGGCAAAAGCTTCATATACAAATTATCAAAATATTTTTTAAACTCATCGCAGGTGTGCATGGTGGTGAAGTCTGAGCATTTGGATTAATTGAGTCTACGAATGTATCAATACGGTATAG